TTATTTATATTTAAAATGATTTTGTGACTTATTCAAAATACCATATCTTAACCAAACAGACTAGCCTCAATGATCTGTTCGGTTTGAAATCTGCAAACGTTAAATATTTCTATCAGTGTAGCACAATCTCATATTGTAGCCTACAGAATAGTGCCCGTGGTCTTAATGTGCATACGTTCAAGTCTATCTACGGTTGAAAAAATGTTCAATACCGTGTTAATCCTTTGCATGAGTTTTTTTTAAGTAGAGTATATAGTTAGAATTTGGAAAATAGTATATTTCATCACTAGGGCGTAAAGTGACTCTCTTCGACCCGAGCTCAAGTTTCACGATGGACGCGAAGCCGAGGTCGGAAAATGAGCGAGGGTTGAAAAGACATTTTTTGTTCGTGTGATGAACTATATTTTTCTTCATTTTTGCACCATTATTTGAACAAACTATGTTACAAAACTACAATAGTTTTCTTTTAAAGATAAACTCTCTAAACTTCGTCTAACTTATTTTCAATGTAATTTTCTAATGCAAACGAGCAGCAGTAAGTCATTCAATTGTTTCGTATGTTACGATTGTGTTAGTGTACAAACTATCGATGTATCGAACTATTTACAAGAAAGCAACAATGCACTACAGTCGTTTTAACAATCGTTACATACGATTGTTGTGTGTGTTGACATGCGATTGTTTAAAATCGAAATTTTGAACTGAGTTGACAACAGCTGATTTTTACACCTTAAGGGTTATTAGATACGATTTTTACTCTGTAAAAATGCTACTTTAGATCAGCAACGCATGCATTATAAAACAGCTATTTTTGCTATGGTATTAGTATGGAGAAAAAAATACTTTAATACTTTCTTTGAAATGGCGACTATACCCATAGGTAGGTATTTTAAGCCAAGTATGAATAGAGATAAGTGTAGTATGAGTGGCGCGATCTTATAGTCGTGTTAGTGACTAAGGCCGACATATTCCTTAGACATAACACAGCTGTTAACTTGCCCAATACAGCCAATGGCAATTTAAGGACTTACGGGAATCCGAACTACATTTTTACCTTGTAATTAACGAATTGGTCTAATTATCAGGATAGTACTGCGGATAGTCGTAGTACTAAGTGCGGACGTTAACTCTCATCAGCATTAAAAAAAAACACCAATGTGGTGTTAATGTCTCAAAACATAATGATGACAATCACGATAACAAACGATGCAAATTTAACATTAATGAGTCTGTATACTTAAAGCTCTTTGGCAAACTAACATTACGTTAGAGAGTTGAACCTTTGCTACTTTTTTGGCTGTCAACCACGGCCTATTACACCACAGCTGTTTGTAGAATACAAATTTCGTTACATTAGGTACCAAGGGTCACGTCGGGGGGGGGGGGGGGGGGTAACCTCGGCTAGAAAGCGCCGAAGACTTCGTTTGGATGCGCCGCCGTTGTTAAACGCTTTCACTAGTGTGTAGTGTGCGCATGCGTGGGCATGTAATATGTTTATGTCACGGAAATGCCACAATACACTGTAAGATTTTACTTACAGTTGGTTCATTTTCTTTGACTTGGTAATTGATATGTTAATTTAGATTTTTTCATATTTTTAGGAAGCCGTTGACTATAAAACATGACAATGGGTTCCTAAAAATGTACACATGTTATATATAATATATGTGTGTCCATTAGCACGATAACTTGAGCAAAAATTATCCAATTTTGATGAAATTTGGTATAGACATGTAAACCTACATTTATTCAAACAAGTTCGCGAACCAGCATGATTGGGGTTTTTGCGGGGTTTTATGGGGTAAAAATGGGTTTTACTAGTTTTCCCCCCTGAAAACAGAACATTTTGCAATTTATTTTGAAATATTTTGTAGGGCTCAAAAAACAAATAATTTAGTATATTGAAGCATTGTTGTATGGCTGACGGTTACGGAAAAATACAAAAAAGTGTATATTTAAAATTACCATGTTATTTATAAGGAGAAACTGTTGTAGCTTGCTTGTGTATGGTAATATTTTAATAATTTTTTTTAAATTTGGTTTACTTCATACTAAACTATCAATATTTTAATTTAAAACCCCTATTTTCTTGCCTGTAGCAGCAAACCTAAGTACTCATTAAAATTAATGATATTTAAATAAATCTGACAATTTTAAATGAATAATTTAGTGGAATTCCAGCCAGGTAGATGGAAATTCGCTTAGTCTTCAGGTTTGCTGCGGCCAGGGTATTTTTGTTTACATTCAAGCCAGTTACACCATTTGTTTATGTTCATAGTTTCAAACATATTCATAGCTGCTGTTATTGGGTTTCAAGAGACAGCAAATGGAATTAAAACTTTGTAAACTCAATTGGCTACTAGGTACGAATTCAAAATTATCATTGGCTAACAAAATTTTACTGTATAAAGTTATGATCAAACCAATTTGGACATACGGAATTCAACTTTGGGGGACCTCGAGCAAATCCAACATCGAAATTCTTGAACGATTTCAGGCTAAGGCACTGAGAAGAATTATTGGCGCACCCTGGTTCGTATCCAACACTACAATTAGGAATGACTTCAAAATTAAATCAGTGAAAGAAGAAATTACAGACCTTAGCAAAAATTATCAAGAAAAATTAGAATATCATCCGAACAGTCTTGCTGTTAATCTGCTGGACAATAGTCAGTGCATTACCAGGTTAAAAAGTGTTGTGCATGTGCTGGACCTAAGCTACAGATTTCTGTAAATGTTTAAATGACTGATCAAATTGTTGGCAAGACTTGTTGATGAACAGGTGCTTGCTTCCTGACATTGTTCGATATATGTTTTACTTATTGTTCTCATATTTGAAGTTTGAACAGATTGTAAAATAAATTCTGATAAAAAAAAAAAAAAATTCATATCTGTTATTGGGTTTCAATATGTACTTTTCTTTGAAGAATCAGCTGACCTCGTCCAGTAAAAGAACCGTTCTAGATTTGTTCATATTATCCAACTCAAAACAGTTATAATATTGGGATGAAATTATTTATTTCCAACCATAAATTTATGTAATTGCCAAATTCATGTTATTGATGACAAAAGAAAACTATACAAGGCTTTTAGCAAATTGTGTTTAATCAACTGTTTTTCCTGGTGAAAAAACGCCATCGAAATCCCTGCTATACTGTTCTTTTTGAACATAGACTTGATAACAACTAATTTAAAGCTATTGTCTTTCATGTACCTTGGTAAAAACTTGAACTGTAGTGCAGCCTTTCATAAGTTAACATTGTGAAGGTCGTATGGTAAACATTTGCAATGAACCTAGTTGTTGTCTGAACAAAACCTCGAAAAGAATACCTTGTCTATTCATTAAGTTTTTTTGCCATTTACCATCCGTTTTGTTGGTTCAATACCAATACCAAAATATCCAATTTAGGAATGTTAAAATATTATTAGTTATATTATTTTCCCATTGTTAGTAAATGTCGGTAACATACATTGTCAAATAATGGTCTGAAAACATAATTTCATTACAAAATGTTCTAGAGTATTAAAACTCTGTAAATACATAGACAAACATAAGTACTATAAACGAATAATGAACATTGAAAACCTCTCGAGGAACTATACGGTAAAGAGATCATAGGAGTATGAAAATCAAAACACAATACATTTCAACTAAACCCATTCTTCAATCATATCCAGCAATAATGTATTGTTTTCTTCATAAATTTTTCAATAAATGAATGATTAAAACATAAACAAGAATGTCGAGTTAACACCACTAAATTCCACGAGGGGGGAAATTAATATTTTATGACATGTATTTAAGGAATCTACACATCCTACTAATATTATAAATGAGAAAGTTTGGATGTATGGATGTATGGATGTATGGATGTATGTTTGTGACAAGTGAACGCGAAAAATACTGGTCGGATTGGGCTGAAATTTGGCATGATGATAGCTCACATTCCCGATTAACATATAGGCATATTCTTATTTCAAAAATCCTTTCGGGCTCCGCCCCAGTGGCTCTGGAGTTTCCCATGTTAACCTTATGAGAAATGGAATTATTGAATCTTAACAGCTGTTTCAACTAAACAAGTTGGTTCTGTTCTATGATGTTCAATAGCATATAAGTTACAAGGATTACCAACAGGGTGCAGCACTCTATTATTTCTTTTACATTTATGACAACAGCTAATTTGCAACCAAAAGGTGAGTGAGCGTAGCGAACGAACTTCATCCTGGAGGCGAGTTAGCGTAGCGAACGAGCTAACCTGAAGGTGAGTGAGCGTAGTGAACAAACTTCAACCAGGACGTGATTGAGCCATGCGAACGAGATTATCTTGAAAATTAAGAAGTTAAACGGGGCAAAGCCCGCGGGTTACAGCTAGTATTATATAAAACAAACTCCTTTAGGATATATCAGCCATATGAACCAACTGAAGATATTCAAAAGGTATTCTTATGTCTGGTTGATGTATTCTTATTAATTACAGGTTATTTGATTAACTCCAAAATTATTATGGCTGAAAATTAATGATCTATTGGTTCACCATAGATACTTTTATTCGGTACACTTGACCTCTTGTAGCAAACGCTTTAAAATAAACTAAGATAGAAAAATGCAGTGTTAAAATCAAATGGCCAAAGAGTTACAAGCCATAAAACACTTACCAAACCAATTTTGCTATTAATAAACTAAAATCAATAGTCATGTTGTTTTTCTAGATGTAACTAAATAAAAGGTTTTAGTCAAGGAAAGTCATAAGAAAAATGCTATACCCAGCTGTTCCTGATCATTGCTTTAATTAAATGATCCTGGCTAATGAAACAGCTGATGATCTTAGTCAGTAACAAATCTACACAGATCATCTCAAAACATTCTACACCCATCTACTTACATTTGGATTGAAATAAGCACATAGGTGACATCCACATCTCAATAATAATAAGATACAATAAGACATAACAATAAGATCAATTACTTCTTCTTTTGACCAGAAACTGTTTGTTCACAGGTCTCCTGCCAGAGGTTGTGAGAACTGCTTGCAAGTCATGTTCTACTAAGGACAAAGTAAATCTGAGAAAGTTTTTGAGAAGAGTTGAGGCAGACCCGAAGCTTGCTGATGCTTGGAGAAAAGTTCTTGAGAAGTACGACCCTCATCGGCTATACAGGGATGGGCTGGAGAAGTTTGTGAATGCTGACTATGATTGAAAACCAAAATACAACCTTTCACTTGTAAAGTCAAGAAGCAATTCTAATTGTTTTGTACTTTTATAATTTGTTAATTTATTTATTTGTTTTGGAAATGTGACAAGTTAAATTTGTTTTCAAATAAAGTAGTGTTAAGGTGGTTTGATGTTTAATGGTCCTCCCAAAAAAACTCTTTGGTTGCAAACACGCCTATATTACCATAGACAAATAGAATAAATATAGACCCTCAGCTGTGCTGCGGTTATGTTCCAGGGCCCACCGCTAGGAGTGCCGTGAAGTTACGCTGCACACCGCTGCAGCGTCTGCTGGTAGCATACGGCTCCTGCGCTCCTCGCCTGCAGCGGTGTGCACCGTAACTTTACGGCACTCCTAGCAGTGGGCACCGGAACCTTCCTTTGACAGCTTATATTTTTATTCTATTTGTCTATGATATTACTGACAAAACAACAAAAGCCATCAATAATACTTGTCAATACTCAATACCAGCATAACAAACAATCCTGAACAGATAGAGATTTTCAACGTTAAAAGTTGTGATAAAATCTACAAGTGTAAGAGTGTAATAATTTTCACAAGTGTAAGTGAGTTTCTTTTTCAAAATAAATAAATCCAACGTAAAGTTGATGTCATATAATTGACACCAGTTAACAATGAATATAGTAGCAATTAAAACAGAAAACATAGGGTTTTAACACATTTTCCTATTATGTATCAGTTAATTGTATTTTTAAATCTTCTCTTGGCAGGAGTGGTCCAGAGGGTCCCACTCTAGTGAGGGGTAGACCTAAAGACCCTCTGACCACCTTTGGTCAAATATTTTACCATTGACCCTAGTGTGGATTATCCACACATACAGGATTTGTTTCCATGCATATAGAAAGACTTCAACGCTACCCTCATCAGTGCAATGCCTTAGATGGGACCATAGCACCTTCAGCCAAACACGACAAATGCTGGTAGCACTCACAGGTAAGTTTAAACGAACTAGTGCCCCAAGCTATACTTGGACTTGTAGTGTGAAGAACAGTAATTATTTATACTCAAACAAAATGTTTGGTGTAGTGGAATGGGAACGTGTGGGAACGCTGCTTATATTCAGATTTTTTAAGTTAGACATTGTTTGCTCAAGAGAAAAGTCACTACACTGATTAAGATAATTAAAAGACAAGTGCCAAAACCACTCAACTTCTCAAACACCCTGTCCGTGATATAGCTATAGAGCGCTTTAGATTTTAATAGTTTGAAAATGGGCCCAACTGTACTCTCATTGAAGGGGACAGAGTAGAAATAGCTGGACTAGTTAATTAACAAAACTTAAAAAGGCATCTCACTAGTCAACAATCACACTAACTCACATTCTACACTAACTCTTTTATTCTTGTTGGGGCTTAAATAAGCCAAGTTGTGTCACTTAGTCACCAAGAGTGGTAGGATAGTGGTAGTTAAAGAGAATCTGTCCCATAATTCAACAGTACCAAATTGTATGTCTGTCAGGAAATGTGAAATTACTACTGTAAGTATGCTATCCTTTTACTTCTATGCAAATTATTATGAAAAAGTGTGCCATGAGTGTTTGTAGATTATTTACATTGGCAGATTTAGCCAAAATCCGTGTGATGATTAAAGTATTTGATTCCACGCAGTTCATTGGACTATAGGAACCTAAGTAACCCTCAACAAAGGAAAAATGTAATCTATTTCAAACAAACAAATTTTATTCAAAGAATATATTTATCTTGAAACAATCAACTGAGGAACAATAAAAAACAAAAACAAAAATTGCATTTCTCTTGGACAACAAATTTATCAATCACTAAGCTTCATCTCCTCCTTCTTCATCTTCATCGTATTCTCCCTCCTCGTCTGCCGTGGCTTCTTGGTACTGTTGATATTCCGAGACCAAGTCATTCATGTTAGACTCAGCTTCAGTAAACTCCATTTCATCCATGCCCTCTCCGGTGTACCAATGTAAGAACGCCTTTCTTCTGAACATCGAGGTAAACTGTTCAGACACTCGTTTGAACAACTCCTGGATAGCAGTTGTGTTGCCAATGAATGTCGATGCCATCTTCAATCCCCTAGGAGGAATATCACACACAGCCGTCTTACAGTTGTTGGGAATCCATTCCACAAAGTACGTAGAGTTCTTGTTCTGAACATTCAACATTTGCTCGTCTACTTCTTTCATCGACATTCTTCCTCTGAATATGGCTGCAACCGTCAGATATCTTCCACGCCTTGGGTCACAAGCAGCCATCATGTTTTTAGCATCAAACATTTGTTGGACGAGCTCCGGAACTGTCAAAGCTCGGTATTGCTGGCTTCCTCTGGAAGTCAATGGAGCAAAGCCGGGTACAAAGAAATGCAATCTTGGGAACGGCACCATATTCACTGCAAGTTTCCGCAGATCAGAGTTGAGTTGTCCGGGGAATCTCAGACAAGTGGTTACTCCTGACATTGTTGCTGACACTAGATGATTCAGATCACCGTATGTGGGAGTAGTGAGCTTCAGAGTTCTGAAGCAGATGTCGTACAGAGCTTCATTGTCAATACAGAATGTTTCATCAGTGTTCTCCACCAACTGGTGAACAGACAGTGTTGCGTTGTAAGGCTCCACTACTGTGTCGGATACCTGTACAGAACAGATACACATAAACATCAGCTGCAATGAGTCAATATCTGCAGAGTATAGAACCATATCATCGTTCTTAGTACATGAAAGAGTTAAGATGAACTAAAGTATGTCTAAGAACTTACTTTTGGTGAAGGAACGATGCTGAATGTGTTCATGATTCTGTCAGGGTACTCCTCCCTGATCTTGGAGATGAGTAAAGTACCCATGCCTGACCCAGTGCCTCCACCTAGGGAGTGAGTCATCTGGAAACCCTGGCAACAATAAAAAAACGATGAGTAAGATACTGTTATATAGATGGAATACGTAACTGTCGAGGACATGGGTCTCCAGCGAACGGCTCACAGGCCACATCTTGCCCGCTAGCAGATTTTTTCCACCAAACACAGATGATCTTTTCCCTAGATTGTGTGTATTCCTATGTTCTGGTGGTCTTGACAATACCTTTATCGTTTCCCACAACTGAGGTATCGCTTGTGACCATGTACCTTGCGGTCTCGGTGTCGGCGATACTGTGATCATCTCCGACAATAGCGGCAAAACTTATCACCAGTAATTATGTTTTAAGGATTAAACAATGGAGGCGGTAAACAATCTGCCCTGAATAACCCAACTTCCCTCCAAAAACATAGTTTAGCCCTCGAGGAAAAAAGGTTGAAGACCACTGGTCTATGACACAGACCAATATATCAGCCAATTTCCTGACTCCAAAAAATGCCAAAAATAAAAAAAGGGGTTTGGCTACTTGATTCATGGAAACAATTTTCTTGGAGTAGTCCAAAAGAAGTATATTCAATAATCAGGTTTCTATCAGGAAAACCCAGACTGTAATAAACCAGGAACACCCAATGACCTTCAAGTGAGTGGATATCACTTCAAGAAGCAGAATATAGAAAAAGCGAAAAGGTGTTGTCGCTGAGGCCAAAACTCTACTAATTTCAAATACGAAGGAAGTTACGCAGTACTGTTTTAGTTAATGATCCGGGAATAAGGACGCTAGATGTTTTAGGATTGTTGGGGTCGCAAGGAAGAGATCTCTCTGCGAGGAAGGAGGGAGTGGGCGCAATTATCTCGTAAGCCCATAGAGTGTCACATGCATGGGCTGAAGCTAGGTACATAAGGTAAGGACATTATAGCAATAACAAGTATAATGTAGATTAATAACAATCCTGAGTCTAATAAGTAGGAAGAAATTAACAAACAAAGTGGTTTTAAGCTGCAAGATGGTCAGAAACGTTTGTTTCTTCTTGTTTTAATTACAGTTGGATGAAAAAGTCTCAATGTCAGTCAAATGTTAAGTATTAAACGGAATTGTAGATACCAAAGACCGTTCTGCTTGAACACTGTGACATGATGATTTATAAGCAATTTAGATTAATGTTGTACCTTTTCAAAAACACTAGTAAATTAATACTTATTGAGATAGAGTTATGTAAGAATCTCAGTGTCATCTACCTAGATTGCATTATACCATTTGAAACAAAAGCATTAACACGTTTGCTACCCAATCGTCACATATATTTGCGACGCTGTGTTCAATGCCACAGGTACAGCCCGAGGTAAACATTTAAATACCACAGACCGGGTGTTACTAGTACACCGCAGGCCAGTGATGCAGCAAAGTAAAAAACGGTTTTGCCAACAATCATATGAAGTCACTAATCATCCACAGACCAAGTGACGCACATATGCGACAGACACCCCTGTAGACCACTGCAGAGAATTCAGGGTCTTCAAATAGACCATTACGAAGATATGAGCTTTTTTATAACATTGGGACACCGGTGTAAACATGCGACATCAGTCTATTTAAATATGCAACAGCAGTCTATAGGTAGAAACCAGCCGTCGCATATGTGCGTTGCTGGTCCCTATGAATGAAAAATGTATTACTATTGCGGTGGCAAAGGTGTTATAAAATGTATATATAATAACGTTTTTGATTTTAAAATATTAAAACTAATCCAATATAAAGTTCATATCACACTAATTAAGACTGTATACTGTGATTCTCCAGATGAAATTAGATTGGTCATAATCCTATTACACTTCAATAAACATTAAACACTGCACACAGTGGTGGTGTGGTGGTACCATGATTCAAGGGCCCCCCAGGCAACATCACTTTTATGCTTTATAAACTATGTCTGTGTCTGTATAAATGGGAATAAATCAATAAACCATAAATTTAATCTTTTATAACTATTATGAATTTGGTATGAAAACTATATACAATTGTAGGTCTATACCATCCAACTATTAGGTTAAGGATAACTTATTGTGAGCTAAAGCTTATTACATCACAGAAATAAAATCACGGGTACACTCAAGGGGTAGGGGGTATCAGTGGGTGTAATGCCCATTCCCTGAGGTAAATTAAGTTTAACACCCACAATATCATGCTTAAGGTTTTGAACAGATCAAAGCGACAAATAATAAGTTTTAAACAATTTGAAAAGATTATGGCAATGATGGCAACAATTTCTGGTTTTAGGATGGCCAAAAATCATGTTTAAAGTACAATTGTGGAAGAGGGACTTTTCTTCCAACCACTAGAGCAAGATATTGGTTTGCCTCTCCCTGAAGAAAACATGTCCCATGCAAACACACCAGGGTCTGTGGAGCATATTTTGCACTAGCACTGACTAGCGTATTTACAGAAAAGTAAGGTACATTGGAAACAGTCAATGGTACTCTTTAAGTGGTGTCTAGTACTGCTGGTGTCTAGTAACACCGCCCCCCTCGCTCTCATGTACGCTCACGATGGTGGAACCCTGTGCCCTTTGCGATAGGGATTTCCACTCAGTCTTTGGCTCTTCCTCGCTTGCCATAAGAATATTTCTGGAACAACATACCAGAGCTGAAAGCGCACTATTGTCCCATAAGTGTGTTTCGTCTGTACCTTACTTCTCTGTGTTGTACAGTGTACTATAGTTTTTCTCTTGCCTAAACTCAAAGCTATGTTTTGTCTTGACACATACCTGTATACAGTCACATCCCTCGGCCTCCTTGCGTACAACATCCAGTACAGAGTCCACCAGCTCTGCGCCCTCCGTGTAATGCCCCTTGGCCCAGTTGTTTCCGGCTCCGCTCTGGCCAAACACAAAGTTGTCTGGCCGGAATATCTGGCCAAACGGCCCAGAGCGCACAGAGTCCATGGTGCCTGGCTCCAGGTCTACGAGCACTGCTCTAGGAACGTACTTTCCTCCTGGAAATAAAAAACCGTTGAAAATGTATTTCTAAATTATTATTTTGAAATGTTTTGAGCTTATTACGGTACTGAAAAGATCGATCAATGAAAGTAAAAAGTCATATTTAAGTTACAACTTTGAAAACCAGATATGAATTTCCTAGGCCTGTTGTATATTTGTACATTTTGTTTTTCATAACACAACTCTACAGACTACATCAGTGCCAAATTTAGAGTTCTTGCTGTCTCAGGGCAGGTTACCTCTCGAGCGACCCCTGCCCCATAGGTTAGTTCCTTACAATAAGATTCCCACAATCACGGCAAAATTATGAACATCTATCACGATTATGGGTCATTCTTATCTGCTATGGCGGAGAAATCTTCAACATCTCCAACAAGCACAGAAAGATCATTATGTGACCCCTGATTTCAAAACATTATTGATTTGTAAATTAACTCAATTTTTATTATAAGAAATGTTTCTGTGCAATACAATGCGGCCTTATAGGCTGCCGCATAGTTTGCCCAGTAGTAAATCCGGCATTACACTGCAGTGTGGCTTACTACTATGAGCATTATACACACAATATAGGCTAACATTTAATTTATGACATCATACCTGTAGCTTCATTATAATAAACATTGATTCTCTCCAACTGCAAGTCAGAGTCGCCATGATAAGTTCCTGTCGGGTCGATTCCATGTTCATCAGAAATCACCTCCCAAAACTGAAAAGGATATTAAATAAGTTAATAAAATAATAAGGGGGCATAATTGTATCCATGCGATTCGGAAATATCGTAAAAGCATAGAAGTTTTGGCATCTAATTTACGTTTGGTACCGTACTGATGGATACGTTTACTACTATTGGTAATGGTTAATAGTATATTTAACATAAATGGTACGTTTGCACACTTCAAAGATGGCTTGCCGCAGAAGTTAGTGCTCAACAATTTTCCACTTATTTGTTGTTTAAAGTTTGTCTACGCCGATAATATTTCCCTACCACCACATCGACTAAAAGCGCAACAACTCTTCAACCTTCATTGGTTGATACCAATGACATTGAACTATTTTAATAGCTTTACATAGTGTAAAGTGTTTATTTTGCCAGAAAAGACTATCCAATTAAGGTAAGTGTTCCAAAAAAAGTTCTTAAAATGTATATCTTTGTGCTTTATGCTATCCTTAAAAGTAGACAAAGAAGAATATCAGATAGTTTAAACCATTTTGCTGGGCTGGTATGGGACAACAGCATTGGGACAGTCAATAAAACTTCTTAGCACTCAACTTGCCCAAGCAAATTAGTGCGCCTACCAAATGATTAACGCAACTGGCAGTACTTAACTGCATTGGGTAACGTCTTTGTTAGTTGCAAGGAGCTGAACATTATGGTTTCATTATTCAATATTGTTATAGGTACATAACATGCTTCCGTAATATTCGTAGTTAGGATAAAGTAGAATACAACAGGATGGATTGTCCTGCTAGCCAAAAATATGTCCATGGAAAAAATACAAAATAGCCTAGGCTAGGTATTGCAACGATCTTTTTCAACAACTTTTCAGAAAGGATATTGTGGTTTATCATCGTGAAAACATCAGCAATTTTAAAAGCAACTAAGGTAATCATAGATTTAGGAAGTTTGTTTTCTGTAGGCTACTCAAATTTGTAAGCTTCAGTGATGTCTGTGGCAAATTAAGAGTAGCCTAAATATGAAACTATTTTGAATAAAATGTATATTTACCTTTGCCCCAATCTGGTTTCCACACTGACCGGCTTGCAGGTGAACGATTTCCCTCATATTTAAAGAATAATTTAGATAAAATTCGCGAAATGTAAATACACGTCTTTTGCAAACCTAAACCAAATTTTCAACAATGTTCCCAAGCTCCAGCTTCAATTGCGATTAGATTTTGAAACATATGGTTTTATTGGTGTTTTGATATTATTTTCATTCCTTCAAATAATACTATAAAAAATGTATTTAGCAAAATTTAGTTAGTCAAGTTATATATATACGTATATGCTATTTACGAAGATTGTAAATAATCACATCAATAATCAAATGTTTTCATAATATCTTTATGAGCATCTCTTAGTATAAAAATAATGTGTTTTATTAAGTTAGTTATTTTGTAAAGAATATAGTATGGCAGAACTAAACCTAGAATAAGATACGGTATTAATAATTCTATTCGAATCATCAATTACAACCACAATTCCTAAATGGCAGTAATGTTTACTACAATTATTTTAGACTTTTACAATGTTGGGAGAGAAGTTTTAAAATTATTAGCACTTACTAGGTGTTATATCTGTAAAAAAGACTTGAAAATATCTCGCGGATAGTTATGAAAATTTAATGACCGTAAGCTTGTTAAAACTGACCGCCCTCAACTGCTATCAAAAAGTTTCGCCCGAACAGGGACTTGAACCCTGGACCCTTAGGTTAAAAGCCTAATGCTCTACCGACTGAGCTATCCGGGCTCTGCCACAAGGTCGACGACAAATCTAACATGAACCCAGCTACAGTTTGCGTTGTATTACGGCTTGTTCGCTTGTTGCTCGGGCTTTGAGTTTATGGCTTTAACCATTGACTATATAACACTGTAGTCAATGCTTTAACTTACGAACTGAAACTTATTTTGAAATATCAATCGTGTATCACTAAACTAGTAGTGTAGTACCGTGGTACTTCACTGATTACTTATTGTGTGGAATCATTTTGACTAAGAGTTAGTAAAAAATAAAGATTTGGACACTCAGTTTCAAAAGGTTTAAGCTGTTTAAACGCGGCATTATTTCCTCAATGAGAGTAAAAAGATAGATACGAACTTCACTCACTTGAGAATGAGTACGTTATGAAAATGGGTAGGCATTGGGTTGAATATTAGTGAATTTCCCCCTAGAGAAGCAACTACTGCAGGTGGCGGTGGCAAGACCAGGGTAAGACCTAACCCGGGACCGATTTACTTGTTCATTTTCATCTCCATATGTTAAAAACAAAGCTACACAACACAGATCATCTCACACCATTCTTCACTCATATTTGGGTTGAAATACACACCTAAGAGGCGTCCCCATCTTAATGATTGATAATTGATAATTGAAAACACAATTCGTTCAATCTTTTGATACGTGTGCTTTGCTCGAGTAGTTTTGGTCCGATTTCGATGTAATTTGGTGTGAATGTGTAGGGCTGGACAAAACTTTATTGACTTCGCGAACTAGCAAGACCGCGTAATGGGGATGAGGTGTCATAGGGCCACGGGTGTTTGGATTTACAAATTAACAGGTGGTTATGGTTATTGTTGTTTTTGTCTTATTGTTGGAATAGAAAGAAATTGTTGTGATCAATTTGTCTATTAATTAATTTTAGTGTTTTTCTCGAAATATTTCTCTCTCCCTCCCTCTCTGATTGTTCTGAATAACTCTATTTGTTGAACCTCAAGATTTTTACAAAGAAAATGGGCAACAATTATTAAAAGATAAACAGCTTTTCCAAACATTTCAGTACTCTTAATTGTTGAGCCTTGTTAATTTCTCTATCCTCTCAACTAATAGACGATGGAAAACTAGTTCTCTATTTTGCTGTAAATTTACAGACTTAGACTAACCAACACAAGTAGACTTATAATCCCGTTGTAAATTTTGAATCTAGTTTAAATCTTTTCGTATCTAGTTCATGTCCGGTGACACTAATTGCTACGGTAGTGCGTCGACGAAATTTGGTTTATTTTAGGGTTGATTTAATGATTATTTGTGCTTAACTGTTTATTTTTATGACTAGGGGATGATTTATTGTTTATGATTAGATCGTTTGATTAAACGAGGTTTTAAATGACTGAAATAACAAGAAATAATAATTTGTAAACAAAACACGACCTCTAGTGCACCGAACAGAACAAAAATACAATTGTCTTCAGCTGATCAATAAGGATGGGAAATCTACTAAGGGTTTTTATATGATATAGACTTACCAATGAATAGTAGGACATGACATACACAAATGCCTACTCAACATTTACCAGCCAAAAGCCTAAAGGTTACTCACCTTTTAATCAAAACGTGCTTATAAAAGCTCTAGGCCAAACAGTCAATTCCCATGCAGCTACCATCTTCCTAGGAAACCTTCAGGGGAAACTCTTCATATTGACGCAGGTCCTACATTTCGTCTCCAGCTCACGAACATCCTGTATAATAAAACCTCTGCAAATTCATTGTCAATGACAGTTCCCCATACAGTTGGCAACATGATTTCTCCAGGGTTGGTAGTGGTAGCACTGTTGTTGATAGGGTTGGCATCCCTGGACATTGCCAAGGGCGACTCCTACACCACCAGGTTTGACGGGATCGACGTGGAAGCGGTCCTCAGGAACGAGCGGATCCTGCGGAGGTATGTGGACTGCGCCCTGGACAGAGGACCGTGCACGGCGGAGGGAAAGGAGCTCAAGAGTAAGTATTTGGGGGCGTCGCCCAAACTTTACGTAAAGGCTAGTGATGATTTTTTTAGTTTCGTTTATCGATTTTATGTTTTGAGGAAGAGAGTTATTAATAGTCAAAGTAGTTGTATTAATAGTCAAAGGTTATAGGGAAAAACTCTCTATGGCTCTCTTCCTTAAAACATAAAATCGATGAACGAAACAAAAAAAATCATCACTAGCCTTAATAAAATACCTCCTGAACAGGCCATACTACAATTTAAAGGAATTCTACAAAGACCACAACAATGTAACACACCTCTAAAATAAATAAAACACACACACTCACACACACACACACACACACACTGTTATACACACATACTTGTAAAGCTGATCAGTTGTAAACATCGTAAAAAGATAAAGACCCTCCTATTATACATATATAAGACTAGTAGTTACCCGGCACGCGTTGTGTAATATAATATTAACTAGTGGCTTGTATAGGGACATAAGTCCCTAAAAAGATAATAATATGAAAAAATTATTCTAATATTTAAACAAACTAAGAAATATATTATCTATGTGTCATAATAGATATCGATGTACGCCATATCTTTTGTGTAAACAAGAGTTGTTTGTCTTTGTTTGCCTTTGTTGATGTTTTTTTTTTTCATTAAATCAATCGAATCACTACTTAGGTTTAACCGTTTTAACTCTACTAAAGGCAGCAAACATATGATTGTTTGTGAATTAATATGCTGGTTTATTTAGGTAGCTTTGGTCTTGTTGTTAATGGTGATAAAAAAGACTTCCCTGACTGGAATTTTGGAAATTGTCTTCGTCAAATATGAAAAGGCAAATAAAGGTGTGTATCCCTACCCAGTTAATATTTAAGTGTATACTCCTTTTGTTAAGGCTTAAACACATTAGGGCAAAGTAAAAAAGCATCCTATTGACCGAGCTTAACCCTAAATTTTTTCTGATCAACATAAAAAAAATTATAACTAGTGTAAGTTTATGTGGTGGTATTCCTGTTAAAGGTGCGATTGAAATTCTATCAAATTTGGCTTAATCATCGGCTGATTCTTAATTTTTTGCGAGCAACAGACAGTACCTGTTTAAATCTCCAAAAAATATTATTTTCCTCCAATTGGAACTTGTTATAGTACTTACTTAATTAACAATTTCCTGTACGAACCTATTCAATTTATCAATCAATTGGCACCTTTCAACTGTCAGAAGGGGAGCATCCCACATATGCCCAAGTTTATATCTACGGACGTCGAAACCACTGTTCAAGAAAGAATGCTAAACAAAGCTAATGGCTCTTTCAGCACTGAACTCATGCACATTTTGACTCAAAATTTGGTTAATATTAATCCATACGCACAAGTTTTCAGCATGATGAGCTCCGTCCTGCAAAATACTCCTATGCAAAAAGACCTTAGCATGCATATTGCATATAGCCTACGATCGAGCTCAAGACCAACGCCGATACAACGACGCAACTTCTAACGACGTTGATATAATATCCTAATTTATTATTCGTGCGAATTCGCACGGGTTCACCTAGTCTTAAATTTAAAATAAAGAAAGTGATGAATAAATCTAGAACATATGTTTTGAATTAAAAACAAAGCAGAAGTTTTTCATTTAATCTTCAATCGTTAATTAGGCCTTTAGTCACTGTGGTTATTTCATGTTAAACGTTAAAAATACACAAATTTGAAAAGTTTCACAGTAAAATAATCCACATTCTATAACGTAACAAAAGTCTTAATTATTATAGGTAGCGTTATCCCTGGTTTTATACAGGGCGAGTTTTAAATGAGTTCCCCCCAACTTTTTCTACATTTCTAAAGATATCAACTCCGGACCACGTCAGATCATTGTAGAGTAGTAAGTACTTCATTTTGACTGGGTTAAAATTTTTGGTCGCCATCTCGGATCCGCCATATTGGATACAAAGTTATTTTATCAAATGAAAAGGTAGGGTTGTGACCCACCGTTCCAAACAACATCCTTACCTACCCTTAATACGATGTTGCAATCCGTTTTTGAAAATATTGATCAATTCTACAGTTATGAGAACTTTTTATAACTTTATTTTGAGCCTATTTTAACATTGTGCATTTACAAACTAAGGCCATAATCTCAAAATTAGTGCTAGTAAAGATAAGTGCACCATTCATTGTCGACCTATTTTCCAGTAGCACATTGTGCATTACTTACCATAAATAATTGCGTAGTTTTGTAATGCAAATATATAGCATCTATATTTCCAAGAATATAGATATTGCCATCATACAATATCATATGTATTTTCCTAATCTAATTGGAAACTAGTTTTCCTTGTCTCAACTAATTTGAGAGAACGGTTGGGTGTAGTAACTTGGTTTTTGTATCTCCAAAGAAAGGTTGGTTTGTAGATGAGCCAACAAAAGAGAAATGAGCTAATGCCCCAGAGGCCTTAATAGTGTAAAGAAAAGAGTTGTTTACATTATGAGTATATGGTTATGTTACACTATCTTATTCTAAAATAGTTGTTAATATTAAAACTGTAGTAGCAGTTACCCAGCGCGCGTTGCTGCACTTAACTACTATTACAGTAATTTAAATGATAATCTTTTTACTATGATAAATAACAACAATAGGGATACCAATTGACAATAATTAAATGTGTTATTATTTGTACTTTGTGTGAAAATCATACATTTCCTAAAATTAAACCTGTGATACTCAGAGATGCCATTGTGCCTTATTAATCGTAATTTAAAAAACAAGAACCAAAGGAAATTGTAGTCACTTAAATTCCAAGGGTGGTTCAGATTAAATCATCGGTATTCTTTGGATTGGATTAAGATTATATATCCTTTGAACGTACCGCTGATGATTTTTTCTTCGGTCAAGATTCGTTTCATTTTTATATACGTCAGTCTGATTCCACTATCAGACAGTAAATGCGCCGCGAGCCTGCAGATTGGGGAACGCAACATCCATCACTTTTGGAGCGAACGATCTTGGAGTGAATGCAACAGTTTACTATGATTGCATATTTCAATAATACTGCTCGTTCACTCCAATGTGCATTCGATCCAATGTACAGTACACTTTAAAATTTGTATTTTGCACAGGCCCGTCTACTTCTGGAACTGACTGTACCCTTTGGATCGAATGAACATTGGAGTGAACGAACAGGAAAATAAATTGTAAAAATAATTTTTGGAGTGAATGATCTTGGAGTGAATGCAATAGACCCTATATAACAGGGTTAGTAAAAAGTGTGGAGACCCCCTGTTATTTTTTTTAACGGCCCATACTAGAAAAACTAAACTCGGCACACCTTTATGGCATGTTATGAAGTACTTTTTGGGCACAACCACCACTTGGTGTACATCCCCAAAATGGGGGATTGAGGGGGAAACTAAAAAAATTCAAATACAAAGACCCATCGAGTGACCCCTCATTTTGAAGGTCCTGGTAAAAGAAAACGAACAACGCAAATTAAATGTCTCTATTTAATCCAGTAAAAAATTACAGCCAATTCAAATTATCAAAAAATTAAATTTAACTTACAGCTTTCCAAGTCTGGAGACCCCCTGTAAAGTTTGTAACGGCTCACAATGGGAAAACTAAACTCTACACAACTTTTTGGCATGTTATGAAGTACTTTTTAAGCCTAATAGCCGCTTGGTTCCCAAACCCAAAATGGGGGATTTTAGGGGAAACTCAAAATTTTTAAATGTTAAGCCACATCGAGTGACCATTTTGAAGGTCATAATAAAATAAAACTAAAAACGCAAATTAGAGGTCTCTATCTAAACACAGTAAAATATGGCAGCCAATTGAATATAAAATTGTTATTTCAGTTATTTCAGTATGTTTTATTTAAGTTTTTTCTGATTCCTGTATTGAGATAGAAACCTCTACTTTGCGTTGTTAGTTTTCTTTTACCAGGACCTTCAAAATTAGGGGTCACTCGATGGGGCTTATAATTTAAAATTTTTGAGTTTCCCCCGAAATCCACCATTTTGGGGATGTACACCAAGTGGCGGTTATGCCCAAAAAGTACTTCATAACGTGCCATAAAGGTGTTATGAAGTTCGTGTTCCATTTGAACTAGATATCCTCATTCCCCCTAAGATACGTTGATTAACAACAATGCATGTAAATGTCACTATTAACGGATTACGTAGCCTAACAATTTACTGTATTTGCTTTTTGGAAATGCAGCATTGCTTTGTCATTTGCAATATTCGTCGCCAATGAAGCCGCATTATATTCATAAAAAAGAAGATAAACCAGTTAACATAGGAATAATAACTTATATGACGGACGGATATGCCTCTATCGCAGCAGAGTCGCTAGTCTCGCCGTGCACGGTCGCAGGACCTCGGTAATGACATTCATTAGCGTAGCTGTAAAATGAGTGCTTGCGCGAGTTTCAGAGCGATCTGGACGGCGCACTCTGAACTACCACAAGCACTCCGACACACTCTGTAGTCAAATTGTCACTATTGAGGTCCCTCCCCGATTTGGAAAAAAACATCGAAATATACATATTTTAGGTCCATATTTAACGAAAATCATGCCAGATACAACCGAGGTCCCGAGTGCGAGACCTCGTTTGTGTGGTGAGACCTCGTTCGTGCTTGTATGGCTGGCATCAGGACCTCGTTCATGCACCCATACAAACTCACACATAAATACAATACAACACACCCCCTCCAAGAAATTGACAACTCTCCGGTCTCCACGACTGCGAAGAGGAGCGCCGATGTAAGATGTAGGAGTCAGAAATAAGTTGTTCGTTTGATCCTGAGAGTACAGTAAAAGACTAGGACTAGACTTGACATCTTATTGTAATATCTGAAGCGTTTTCCCATATTTTAATGAAAAATACAACTTACAAAATATTAAAGTGATTGGTTTAGTTATCGGATCAAGAGGGACCATTACAGGTTTTTACTAGGTGTACAATGCAGTTTTCTGCTTGCAATATTGAGCGGAGCCAGCATATTAATTCAATGTCAATGATATATTTGGTTCGCATTTTAAATAGAATGCCTAATTGCAGTAGGTATCCAAAGTCAATCATAAGTCAGGATTAAGTGAATGAATTGTCTACTTGCAGGAACCATATTCTATGTTTCATCTGGTTCTCATAAGTTAAATGTCTACTTTCAGTAACCAATGCCAATGATACATTTGGTTCGCATAAATGTAATGCCAATTTAAGGATTCTAAAGTCAATTGTACGTCCGGTTCACGTAGACGGATTGTTTACTTGTAGTATCCAAACTCAATGGTACATGTAAATGAATAGTCTACTTGCAGTATCCTAAATCATGGTCCATTTATTTCGTTCACTTAAATAAAATGCCGAATTGCAGTATCCGAAGTCAATGGTAGGCTTAGGCCTACTTCTGCTTCACTTATATGGGATGTCTATGTGCAGTATTTAAAGTCAATTATGCGTCGGGTTCATGTCAACGAATTGTGTAATTGCAGTATCGAAACTATGAGTGTTATATTTGGTTCACCTTAATGGAATTCCTATTTGTACACTGCAAATAGGAATTGCAGTACATATTCAAAGTCTACATTAATGGCACGTCTTGCTCACATAAAATACTGTAAAAGTTATTTACAGTATCCAAACGCAATATGGTGCATTAGCCTAATTCTGGCAACCCTTATGGTTATTCATTTTGTAGTAAATTATGCTCAATGCTATTAATCAAAAGTAGGAGTGTAGTATAAGAGAAGTTATAAAGTCAATGATAAGAGCTTCGCTACGCTCTGCTCAATAATTTCTATATCCTGCAAATGAATCATGGTAAACCTATGCGATACCTGAATTATTAAAAGGCAATAACGTGCATTATTTGAGATCCCAGGTTCGAATCTCCTCGGCGGCCTTAAAGTTTTGCTTCTGATTTGGTTAAAATATGATTTTCTCTTAATTTCACTAATCAGTTTTTTTATCTGAGACATTTATAATTTAATTTTGTGATAAGAATGCATTTTTTATATAAATACATTAACTTTTTGTTTGTAATAATTTCCTAACAGCGAATAATTGAGATAGGCTAATCGATAATATAATTAGGTCTAGTTTTATTTCAGCAGTTAAAAGTAAGAAATATATTGTCAACCACTTTCAAAATTTCCCTTTGGTGCAATACAATTTATCAATACGACTATAATGTAGACTACAAAGAATAAGTGAAAACTTTAGGAATTGGTTTACCGGTACGTTACATAACATTTATAATGACATCAAAATAAGCAGTTTGCTTAACTTGAAACCTTATTATTCCTAGTAGCTGGAACCTATATATTTTTTCCAACCTAACTTTAGACTACTACATGGCAATGTTTAAAACTATTTTGTAAGTTAGTATCGCAGAGTAAAGCGAGGTGGTAGACAATAGGCCTACCAGTAGGCATATTTGGTTTAAAACGACGTTGTTACATCTTCTCATGAATTTGACAGAGGAGCATATAGTCCTAATTTAATTAATGATTAATTCTTTTCGAAGTGCACACAGCAATATTAGTGTTAATCCTTTGGGATTTTATTGTCTAAGTTACACCATTTAGTTGTAAACCTTATCTGTAAACCAAGTGGTTGTGATTTCATTTCGTAAAATTATTTTGTATTTTTAGCTACAGGTACATTTTTTTACAAATTTACTTGCAAATCAAGGGCAGTGTGATTTTTGTCGGTATAATTATGTTATAGTGTTTTTTAATGCCCTCGTTTTAACTTCTCCTTCTCCACGCTACATAGGCCTAGGCCTAATTAGTTGACTATTCATTGTTGTTAAAAAGAACAGAACGATTATACAATTAAATATAAACGTCATGATTTTAATCACTCAATATATGACTGATTGTTAATCACTTCGTATTACATGCAATTAACTAATATGCTCTTTAGTATTCATCAGATTTTTTCTTTTGTACTGTATTTATAATGTGGTAGATTTGTTGACTAACATATGTCGAGGCTCTTGTTTACTTTTTATTGTTTACTCGCAAATAATGTCATGGCAACCAATTAACCCATAAGGCCCATGTTAAATTTCTAAAAGTTTGCATTCATGTAGGGAATATTCCTATGGTCCGATTTGTACCATTTCAGATTTATACCTTCCCATGGTTGGGTACTATGACTGTGTTAAATTTCGTGAAGATCGCTTCAGCCGTTCAGGAGGAGTATTTGTAATAAAAAAGCAGGAGTGTAGTATAAGAGCTTCGCTCGCTCCGCTCAATAAACATTTTGTAAAATATTAAGTTGGACAGAAACGTGCTAAAGGAAATTTTAATTGTACTGATCAAGATCAAAATAATTGTGTAGTTGTAGTATTTTTTATCGGTTTAGCCTCAATTGTTTCTTACTATATCATCCTTTGTGTTTAGAAGCTTGCTTGACGGAGCAAGAAGGATGTAATTTTTTTGATAAATTATCTTTACATTTATGTTGGTGAAACTGTGTGCCAGTGTCGACGAAATCTTGTTTCCATTATTTCAGTATTTTTATAATTGTTGCTTTACTTTTCATTTTGATTATGTAACCAGAGGGTGTGCCCGCAGATCCACAAGGGGTGCCATCCCTTGATCTGAGGGGGGTACTATCTGATCTGAGGTGGCGCTATTGTTCATGATTCGATTGTTTAGTTCTGTCAAACGAGGTTTTAAATAACTGAAACAATAATAAACTAATTGTAAGCACAAACACCGGGTGGAACTAACATTCAGCTGATACCAGAATGGCAAATCTTAATGGAGAATGATTAATCTATGGTAGGCCTTTTAGTCATAAGATGGCTTGAAATTTGACACAGCTGGCTCTTTATTGGGATTTTATTAGTAAATGATCCTGGTTGAAGAAACAGCTGGTGTTTAATCAATAAAAGATCTGCACTGATCACCCTCTCCGTTGTCAATGGCTGTATCCTAGGACTACGGATAAAATTATATACCAAATTTAAATTTCATAAATATATCTTGAATAGTTTGGTATAAATTTTAAACACAAAAATTTGGGGGATATCTCGCTAGTGAGACAGTTTTGGAAATTGTTATTCTTGATTTTTGTTTTATTTCGACCCATGAAATCTTTTCCTAAATATTTTGTACTTACCGGACACCTTGCAGATTCCGGGATGTCCACAAGCATAAAGGCCAAAGGTCAATCGATTCATGCTCACCTACAGCATTCACGCCCACTTTGAAATACACCCCCAAAAGGGTCACAGTCCAAAAAATTTATTGATAAATAAAGGTTTTACTGTACTTACGACATTAAACCAACCTCATCCCATTCTCCTTGCTGCACTTAGCAATGTTGAATAGACTACTATGTTATCTTATTTCTTCTTAACCATAAAACCAAAATAAAATTTGCTGTAAATTGAATGAAAAAAACCCCTCTTTATTCTGATGTCCTCTGTCCTCTGAAGAACATAAACCCAATCACCAAACTGCAAACTAAAATAAAAATAAAAGTACAGTAGGTTAGTTTTGAGATAAATTTGGAAGTTTAACTATAGAATAAACACTCTGTTGTTTAACCAACTCAATTATATCCACAGAACGACTTCCTGATGCACTCAAGTCCGATTGCGCCAAGTGCAGCGAGGTGCAGCGCAAGCAAGCGCGCCGAGTCATGGAGTTTTTGGCGCGAAACAAGAAGCCCTACTGGACACAGCTGGTCAGCAAGTACGACCCTAGCGGAGAGTACAGGAACAAGTACGGAATCAAGGAATGAAGGAATAAACACACACAACTATGTCCTGGATAACACACAAATATATGTTTAGTGTCCAAGTTTATTTTCTTTCTGTCCTGTAAAGAGTTATCCCAGTACATTTTATACCTGGTAAGCACTCTATGAAGTATGAAGGAAATCAATAGTGTTTCCAAACCAGAAGCAAAGCTCTGATTAAAAGAGTATCGGAGGTTTCAGCGGAAATGTGGTCCATTGAGTTATATGTCGAACCATCGACAAGAATGCAACAATAAACTACAGCTGTTTAAAACAATTGATACATACTTTCGATCCATACATTGCTTACAATCGAAGTTTACAACTGAGTTCACAACAGCTGACTTTTACAGCTGTAGTAATAATGCATCGCTACTCCCTAAAAACTTTGTACTCCCTAGGGAGATGAAGGGTCAACAAATTATGAAGGGCCTAGGGGGGATTAAGACCAACAAAGCCTGCATTAAAATGGCCGTTTTGCTGCAGCATGACAAAAAAACTATGTTTTACTTTAATTACATTTTTTGTGATTACATGTACACGAACTTATATTTTCACATTCTATATACAAAACGTATTCAAAGCCATCGCCCGTCACGAACATGAACATTCGAGCAGACAGCTAAATAATGCTTTGGAAACTCCCGATCAGCTGTGTGGGATCTGATGACCGTTTTTTTAGAAGCAAGAAAACATCTTGGTGCGTCATCAGCGCAATTTGCGTCACACATAAATGATACACTTCAGAAAAACAAGGGGCGGGCCCGACGTACTGCTTTGTTGATTAGTTTTCGAAGAAATTGCTTCTCGTAAATGTAAAAGCTCTGATGGTTTATTACTTTGTTATTTGAAACCCAAGAATATTTGAAGTCATGCAAATATGATATTTTTGTCAATTTAATTCTTCTATTTAAGTAAATTTACAAAACTTCTATATTTAAAATGTACATAATACTCTTTTGGAGAGAATGTAAAACTGTCACTTGCTTGTTGGGCATGTTTTGGTGTATGATATTGTGGCAAGTATTATTTCATACTAAACGATTAAAATTTAACAAAAAACACACTTTATTGCGTTTCTTCTAGCAGCAAACCCAAGTACTCAACCCAAACACAAGCCTAATGTTGTTAAAATAGGAAATAAATATGATATTTTAAGGAAATATTTTGGTAAAAATCAAATCAGGCGAATGGAAAGTCTGCAGGTTTGCTGGGGTGGGGTTATTTCATGGTTCGAAACTGGGGACAGCTGTTCTCGATCATAGAGATTTTAACAAACGAAGCACGACGTGAAGAAGACATTGCAAACCCATGTTACGTTTGTATGTTTTATCTATGGTTTTAGCATAGGTTAAAGGTTTAATCTATGGTATTTAGCCAATTTATCAGAAAGAACCAGTTCAATTGAGGTGCTGCAGCTGCACTCACAAAATTATCAACTAATGTAAAATACAATTTTTATGTATACCTAATTTGATAATCATACAAAACTACAAGAGTAAGTTTTAATAGCTATAGCATACTATAGCACTTACAAACATCTTATACTTCGTTCACATGTAGGCAGTTTGAGGAGCAGTTCCAACTTTTTTCTACCTATTCAATGTATGTTGCTTTGTTAAGCTATTATTTTAAAAGTACAGTAATGTTCAAGTGGAGGCGATAGATTTCTTCCCCTAAAACCACCAAAATATTGGGACATACATACAATATAAAAATGCTAGTACCAAAATTTTAAGGTAAACTAACACATCAGAATAAACACACTAAAAATCAAGTGATTCACCCAACTATGTATGCTTTGAGTATAAAAGCGGTTACATTTACATACATACGATATTTAACTCTTTCACATAAGTTAGTTATGACAAAAGGTCGTTGGAAAAGTCGCAAGAAAGAAACCTCTAGTGACTATTTTTTATTTGTTTTATAAACCTTGCGTGTTATAATTACTCTAGCTGTCTCGAAGTGCGTGATTATATCCCGGAACTAATATTACGACGTAAATACACCAGTAAACATGGATAATAGTGCGAAAGTCTGCAACAATGACAGATTAAGATACTACAAGACTAAGACTTGTGCGTTGCCTCTGTGACCTTGAACAGGTGCTGATAAAGTCCCAAGGTCATCGTGCGTGATCCGACTGCCGTATGTCTTCCTTCCGGTGCTGTGACATACGTCACTCTGTTTGACAAGCCACTACTGTACCGAAATTACAAGTGGAGTTTTTTATTACCTGTCTTCACGTCCAAGGACGCTAGGTTTTATTCCGGAACAGCTTTACACATTAGGACTAGGACAAAAGAGTGTCGTGGCGTTATCACATGTGAATAAAGCAATTCGTCATTGGCAGGATTTAAACCTGAGACCTCGGAGACCAAAGCTCTGCCAGACTCTGAAACGATCCCAGATTAAAGCACCACTGTGATTAACCCCCTATGCCAAAATCAAAACCGATTCAATCACCCATAATATTGTAACTGGCTAGTTTATTAGGACTTTTAGTTCAAAGGTTTACTACGGAGGCCTTTTAGAATATCCAACCTAAGCCAGGGTCCGTTACGATCAATTAGAAGAGGGAGATTGTATAGCAACTAAAACAGTTTATTTTTGTTGTAAGGTTTTTTTACTATTTTAGTAGGTGGATTGCTAACTTGCGCTTTGCAAGGAGTTAAGGACGCAGAAGAAATGTTGTTACCAACTGTGTTTTGTTGGCTTTGGTGGTCGGAATCAAATTCTTACAACAAATACAATTTTAATTTAGTGAAATGCTTACTAGCATTGACTTAACGTTCAAAATACAAAAAACTTTAAAAGCAAGTTCTCCACAACAAAACGACTGCAAACAAACAAATTTGCAGTACTTTCCAGCCTGTCCGGAAAGTCACGGCTTCCATGTACTGTAATTCCTGTAATCCAGGAGGCGGTATGACCTTGGAGTATATAAGGCGGTGGACGCCCCAGGAGTCATTGAGTAGAGATGACTTCTTCAGCAACGTTGTGTGCCGCGGTGTTGCTGTGCGCATGTGTGGTGTCGACGCATGCGCAACGAGCCTACACCAACAAGTACGACAACCTAGACCTGGACAAGATACTGAGCAGCAAGCGGCTGGTGAATAACTATGTGCAGTGCTTGACCGACAGGAAACCGTGCTCTCCTGAGGGACAGGAGCTGAAAAGTAAGTTTTTTTATTCATGGTTTTTTACTGGAAAGAACTAGATAGGACTATTCCAATCTCATTTGTGCCATTGGAATCGGAATACAGTAGAAGTTTAATCAAGCCCCTTTTTTCTGTAGAATACAGCAACTAGCCTGGTCAAATCAAAATCTCTTTATTGTCTTTCGGTTACAAAGCAATTTGCATTGTCAAAAATAATATAGTAGATAATACAGCAGTAGGGATCTTATAAAATGACATTTTATCGTTAAAACAAACAAATATTTAACATGGACATGGAATACATTACTGGAACCTTGGCCATAAATCACTTAAAAACTTCTAAAACCTCCAAGGACTTGCCGAGTAAACACATTTTAATTTTAACCATGAATCAAGGATAGTTTTGAATTTTTTTATAAAAATTGTTTCTGTGGAAGGGGTTAACTTATTAAATGTATTTGTGTACATTATACTATCGATATATCGAACTAAAAAACAATAAGCTTCATAAGATTAAACAATCGATACTTGACAACAGCTGATTTGTACTATTTATGGGCTAAATAGTTATTTGTGTAATTAGTGGGCGAACCTCGTGTTACACATTATTTTTTTCCAACAGTTGCTATATAAATCATCTATCTATCTATCTATCTATCTATCTATATATTAATAGGCAAGCATGTTTCTTTAAAACCTTTTTTCTCAGCTTGTGTGCATCGTGGGGCAAATCTGCGCATACCGTTAGAAAGCAATTTTCCTGTAGGTGTGCAGAATCCCTTTATAAATTTAAATAGGCTCAAAGATAAGCACAAAAAATGAGTTTAAAAATTTGAAAAAATTAACATGGATATTATGCGTTGCCATGCTGGTGACGAAATAACAACGAAATATAAACAGAAAATCAAAACAAATGGAAGAAACTCCAATCACATGTTTTATTTACAGCGTGGGGTGAAAATAGAGAAGTGAGTACATTACATATTTTTGGTCGAGTTTCGACCACTGGACGACCTCTCGTCTATATATTAATAGGCAAGCATGTTTCTTTAAAACCTTTTTTCTCAGCTCGTGTGAATCGTAGGGAAAATCTACGCATACCGTTGGAAAGCTATTTTCCTGTAGGTGTGCAGAATCCCTTTATAAATTTAAATAGGCTCAAAGATAAGCACAAAAAATAAGTTTAAAAATTTGAAAAAATTAACATGGATCTTATGCGTTGCTATGCTGGTTACGAAATAACAACGAAATATAAACAGAAAATCAAAACAAATGGAGGAAACTCCAATCACATGTTTTATTTACAGTGTGGGGTGAAAATAGATAAGTGAGTACATTACATATTTTTGGTCGAGTTTCGACCACTGGACGACCTCTCGTCTATATATTAATAGGCAAGCATGTTTCTTTAAACCCTTTTTTCTCAGCTCGTGTGCATCGCAGGGAAAATCTACGCATACCTTTAGAAAGATATTTTCCTGTAGAAGTGCAGAATCCCTTTAAAAATTAAAATAGGCTCAAATATAAGCACAAAAAATGGATTTGAAATTTAAAAAAAAATTAACATGGGCTTTATGGGTTGCCATGTTGGCGACGAAATAACAACAAAATATAAACAGAAAATCAAAACAAATGGAAGAAATTACAATCACATGTTTTATTTACAGCGTGGGGTGAAAATAGAGAAGCCTGTACATTGGATATTTTAGGTCGAGTTTCGACCACTGGACGACCACTAGTATAAATAATTAGTCTTTCAAACACGAACTGTGCAACACGTTTTTAGGTTAGGTTAAATCCAAACATTGAATGAAATGGGAAACGCTGCACCAGCTGATCGTATCCGTAATATCTTTGTGTTGCCAACTTATTTTCAAGCGTACACGGATTACGTGCATAATAAAAGCACGCTGTTTGTGTAGTTTGGTTGGAATACTGGTGTGCGCCAAAGTAAAGGCTTTCTGTGCAAGGAAGCCCACTTTGTCGGGTGACTGGAGGAAAAACTCGTTTTACTCTCTATAGTGTAAAAATGCTACTTTATACCCGCAATACATGCATTAGAAACGGCTGTTTTTGCTGCAGTATGATGAAAAATCTATTTTAAGCCCACGAATATTATAAAAGAAACCGGTATTAACTATAGACTGTCAGCCGTGATGCGGTTACCATACCATAGATTCTGTCGCACACCGCTGGGAGCACCATGTAGTTACGGCGTACGCATTACTTTACACGGACACGGCGCTCCCAGCGGTGTGCACCAAACCAGAACCAATAGAACCTATGTTTTAACCGCAGCACGGCTGACGGTCTATATTTAATTCTTTTTGTTTATGAAGTAAACACATGTTCAACACGACTTCTTTTGTCAAACAAATGTCTTCAAGTCAATGCTTCATTAATAGCATATTTTAATCATTAGCAACATGTTTTGTATTTCAAAATGTAACTTGTAACATCTTTCAAGTTCTGGTTTATGATAAACCAACCTTAAATATGTTTCGTACTAGGCAAAATATTCATAATCATAATACCAGGGGTAGGGGGAATTTGGATATAGTACCACATAGGCTTACCAAAACTAAAACTTCTTTTAAACTAAATTGCATTTACTTTTTTAATAAGCTGCCTGAGAATGCAAGAGAGGTTTTAAACAGGTTTAAATCTGTATTGTATACCTGGCTTGTAGAAAATCCCTTTTATAAACTTGAGGAGTTTTTTAATACACAAGTTTGTATTTCTTTTTAATACATTAATGTCTTGTTTGATTTTTATTTGCTATATGTTAGGTACATTTGTATAACATTGTATAACAAATTGACTTGTCCTATTTCTGTACAAACAGATCAATGGAAATAAAATATTCTTATTCTTATTCTTATCAGGAATCAAGAAACTTCCAATAAAAGTGGATTTATTTATAAAAATAGTTTGGTTCACACGGCAGCTCTGGTTAGGAAGACTACGCCTGTATAGTATAAATTTTAAGTGGTTTTTGGTTTTACTATCGAGGCATAAACCTAAAACATCGCTGCCTTGATGTCACAATCTGTGTTGCTAACAACAATTTAACCTAAATATGAGTGAAGGATAGTAGCATGGAGTGAGATGATCTGTGTAGCTTTGTCATTAGTCAGGATCATCTTATTAAAAGCCATCAGAATAGCTGGGTCTAGTTTAAAACCATTAATAAGCTACTGACTATTCTCGAGGGCCGATCAAGAAACCTTTCGATGGTTAGAGCACTATAACTCGTGTTGAACTAGTGATGGTCTTCCTGGTGTCCCTCGGACATGGTTGACCTAGGGACAGAGGAGGGTAGAGTGGCTCTAGGATGTTGTGGGCCTCTGCTACTCTGTTCCCAGTTGTTACAGCATCCCTCTAAAACTCTACCGCTGGTATGAAATCCAGTAGACCTCCATACTACGTGACGCCGTGTGTTCTTTAGCGATGATCCGGACTTGGGATGAACGACCTCCAGGAGTATACGTGTAGAGTGTAGCGATCCCCGTTTTATAACCTCGTATTTTGCACACGGCAAGGGGACAACACAATACCCACTCAAACTCTTTAGACTCAAGTTCTACTCACTTAACCCCCTTTAAAAAAATCGGTAAATCAGTTGTCTACCAGTAGGGCCGCGTTTATTCAACAAAGCGCAAGAGTTTTTAGGTTTGTTGAGGGTGCAAAGAAGAGAAAAAAATCACCCTCAAGGTAGGTGGAGATGGGTACAATCTTTCTGGGCCCACTGCACATATGCAAAATACAAAATAATTTTAACAAAAATTGTTACAACCACAGACTCACCTCCATGCTTCTAGTGTTGGCCTCTAAAGCCAAGCATAATAATCATAACCATGCTTTTGCCTTCCAAAACGCGAGTTTCTAGACACAGCAAACATACTATATATACAAATCATTAGCATGGATATCAAAGCACTCATTCATAACAAACTTGCCTGGTTCAATCCGAGCTTGCAAATCAGACTGGAAGGTCATTGTCAAAGTAGTTTATTTACCTACACATTACATAACTCTACTCATTCAAGGTTAACTCCACTGACGTTAAACATAGTAATTACATTGGTCAACTTGCCCAAGGACTCGTAGCAGGACGATGCAAATATCTACGGTTGATTACCAGAAGAACTTTTTTCCTGAAAGATATGTTTGAGTGGTAATTGAGGAGAGAAGAAGGCTGCAAAAGGAAGTAATCTTTCTGATTGCTAGATTGACTTGATTAAATTAATGAGTGTTCTATAAAAGGATCTAATAAGTGTTTTGTGCTTTGTTTATTTGTTTTTTTCACAGCTACTAACGATTAAAAATTGCTGTATTCCATTGGTCTTGATGGACCACTAAATACAACTATTATAAAATAACTAAATAAATGTAACTATTATAAAAATTTAGGTTGATAGAAAGTATTTCTTTACCTCACATTGTTCTTAGGTATCTGGACATTCTTATTAAAAAAGAACGTGGTTGATGGGTCATAACTGTGCTATACCTGACAACGAGTCGTTCAGTTTGACTTGGTGAAAAAGTTTGTGTATTCAACAGAAATTAGTAATTTAATTTAATCTGTTCGTGGCTCACATTAGCTACAACGATTTTGATTAAAAAACTGGCGACAACTTTTGGATGGATTGTATCTAGTTGTATCTGCTAAAGCTATAACTAAATCCTATGTAAATATTTATATGACAATAACCGTTGACCATACTATTGACTATTATACAGTCAATGTAGTAAAATCCCTTTTATTGTACTAGGACACTAGGCGAGCCTGGAATTTTTATCACATTTCCTTACGCTAAACTTATGGGTTGCGGCATTATAACATATATAAAATCTATTGGTGATTTAGCAGGATTTGACCCCAGAACCTCAGGAACAGAAGTCCCACGCTTTAACCACGAAGCCCATGCCCTCATAATTCACCTCATAACCAATTCTACCACAGATTTGTCTAAAAAAACCCCATTTTTTATTGTTTCATCTGTAAAACCTGTCACGAAATTCTCTCTAATCGCTAATGTTTCAGGAGCGCTGCCAGATGCAATCAAGACGAAGTGTGCCAAATGCTCGGAATCGCAGAAGGACAAGGCCATCAAGGTGATAAGGAAGATGCAAAAGGATTACCCTCAGGAGTGGAAGACTCTGATGGACAAGTGGGATCCTAGCGGGAAGCTAATGAAGGAGTTTGAGCAAGAGGCTCAGAAGAGGGCACAAGGCTGAACTTTGAACTATTGGGATCTACAGTAGCCACTCTGGACATTTGGATGGTTAAAGCTCTTACTTTGAACAACTCTTACAGAAGACAGGAGCATTTACAATTTGCATGGTCAGATTTTTGTTTTGGTTGGGTTTTGGATATTGTAACAAATTGTTGGAAAACTGAGTTGTCATTTAATTTTTCCATTTCAAAAACATCTATAGCAAAAAATTAATTTATTGAGTTTTTGTAAGTACAATTTTCAACAATGATATTTTGATCTGTTTATGTGTTTACAATATCTCATGGTTGATCCTGATCTAATTGCGATTGAAAGAGTGTCTATTGTGTGCATCCGTATAGTTCTTGTTTGATATTTTTTCTTTGCCTGAAAATACTCTTAAAATATTGGAAAAAGAATTCTGTGATGTTAAATTTTAAATTGAGAGATTTATGTCTAGGTGGAATTTCTAATTGTATTCATACTGTACCTAAAATTTGTACTCTGTTTGTTTCTTGGTTTCTTATTAATAGCTATGGAAAATTGTAAAAATATATATGTTTTATAACAATAAACTAAGTACAGTATTTTATTTTTATTTTTAACCAACAATTTTAGCTCAAATATTTTAAGAAGATTAAATTAAAGCTCAATTACTTCTGTTGATGTGGTTATTTTATGAAAATTATCTATGTTAGTACCGGTACTGAAGTTTATATTTTTTGAATCAACAATTACTACACGCACTGAATCAATTCAAATATATTTTTTGAAAATAGTAATTTTTCACTTTTCTGGTGTTGTCACAAAACTTAGTTCAAAAGGTAGGTGCATGTTAGTGAAAGCAAGTTTTAAAAGCCTTTAACCAAGAAAGTTACAAACTACCATAGACAAAAAGAATTAAATATAGACCGTCAGCTGTGCTGCGGTTACCATAGCTTCTGGCGCACACCGCTTGGAGCGCCATGTATTTACGGCGTACGCGCTACGTAAACTACAGCGGTGTGCGCCGGAACCTATGGTAACCATGGTAACCACAGCACGGCTGACAGTCTATATTTAATTCTTTTTGTCTATGAAACTACATAACAACAATAAAGTCACAAGCTATTCCCCAAATAAAAAAGAAATACCTGCCGCAGCAAACCTGCCGATTAAGCAAATTTCCATTTGTCTGAATTGATTTTCAATTAAATGTATTTAAATAACATTAGTTTAACGAGTACCTAGGTTTGCTGCTACAAGAAAACTAATAAAGTGTGGTTTTTTGTAAAATAATAACTTAGTACAAAATAAATCAATTTGCCAAGTTTGATCAAAATATATCCATAAACTTTAAACAATACAACATTATACAATATTCACCATAAGAGTAACATAAAAATTTTAAATTAAAATTTTTTTTTTAATTTTCTCCATTACCAATATAATTATTGTAAAAAAACTTTGATATACTAAATTATTTGTTTTTTAAGCTCTTTAAAAAGGTCTAGAGAGGAATTAAGAAATTATGTGTTTTGAGGGTCAATAATGAGAAAACCCAATTTTCACCCCACATAAAACCACCCCTAAAACCCCGGTTCCCTGCTCCAATCATGCTGGTTCGTGAACTGATTCAAGTTTATCCGACTTGCACCTTTAAACAAATTTCATAAAAATCGGACAAAAATTACTTAAGTTTTCACATTCAGATGGATATACAAATTTGAACGAATGGTGTTATGTCACACTTAGCAAACCAAACTACCATGTCACTGTTAACTGGCCGCGGCAATTTCCACTAAAGTCTGAACCAATGTGACATTAGCGCTCTCATCTGAGATTGGATGAAATGCCAGTGGGTTAACAGGAGGTCTACCCTCTATTGTGAAATGCCATGACACTACACTCCTAACACTATTTTGAAGGGATAAGGTTTGTATCCCATTTTAGTCCGGTCTGTTGTTGCCACTCATTAGAAGTTTACCTGCTTAGAGGTCTAGTTATAATCAACACTAGACGGCATCAGTAGAAGTTTATGGTATATTCTTTATGATTTGATCCTGAAACCAAGCATTTGTCACTTTTTAGTTTACACACAGTAACCTTTGTTACAAGATTTAGTGCATGCAGTTCAAAAATCTCAAGTTAAATTGATAGCTTATTAGTCTGTGCTAAAGCTATTTAGTAACAAGATACAAATTTCAATCTTTCAAATACTTCATAGTGAAATGTATGGAATCCAGATCAGGTAAGCAATACAATCAGACTTCTCAAAACAAGTCACAATTGATTGTAATTACAGCAATAATATTCAAACAGATAGATTATACATTCAGATACCGGTAGCACTAAAAATAGATTAAACAAATTCTGACCAAAAGAACAAGAATTTAACATTTAGGCTTCATCTCCTTCTTCATCTTCATCGTATTCTCCCTCCTCGTCTGCTGTGGCTTCTTGGTACTGTTGGTATTCCGAGACCAAATCATTCATGTTAGACTCAGCTTCAGTAAACTCCATTTCATCCATGCCTTCTCCAGTGTACCAATGCAAGAACGCCTTTCTTCTGAACATCGAGGTAAACTGTTCAGACACTCGTTTGAACAACTCTTGGATAGCCGTTGTGTTGCCAATGAATGTCGATGCCATCTTCAATCCCCTAGGAGGAATATCACACACAGCCGTCTTACAGTTGTTGGGAATCCATTCCACAAAGTACGTAGAGTTCTTGTTCTGAACATTCAACATTTGCTCATCTACTTCTTTCATCGACATTCTTCCTCTGAATATGGCTGCGACAGTCAGATACCTTCCACGCCTGGGGTCACAAGCAGCCATCATATTCTTAGCATCAAACATTTGTTGAACGAGCTCCGGAACTGTCAAAGCTCGGTATTGCTGGCTTCCTCTGGAAGTCAAAGGAGCAAAGCCGGGGACAAAGAAATGCAATCTTGGGAACGGCACCATATTCACTGCAAGTTTCCGCAGATCAGAGTTGAGTTGTCCGGGGAATCTCAGGCAAGTGGTTATTCCTGACATTGTTGCTGACACTAGATGATTCAGATCACCGTATGTGGGTGTAGTGAGCTTCAGAGTTCTGAAGCAGATGTCGTACAGAGCTTCATTGTCAATACAGAATGTTTCATCAGTGTTCTCCACCAACTGGTGAACAGACAGTGTTGCGTTGTAAGGCTCCACTACTGTGTCGGATACCTGTACAGAACAGACGTAAATCAGCTTACCTACACTATTCGAACAACTCATTTATAGTACTTCATTGTAAAAACAAAGCCTTTACTAAACAGTCTTTTTACTAGATGGGTGTAGCATGGGTTGTACTATAACTATATGGGCAATTCAAAGAGATTGGCTGAATAACATAAAATTGATCTCCCTGAGCTCTCATTTCGCTCTGGGATTGTGGACTGTCAAATTCCTTGGTATGGTCATGTAGCCAAATAGTCTAAGGCTTAGACATTGCCCACCCAGCCAGAATAGCAGCGAGATTGTGATGGTTCAACCAAATCTATTTTTTTTTTATTCTACTAAACTGATAAGGAGTTTGTATGTGGTCAAGTTGTTGGGAAGGACCTAAGACCAAATCAGGGCCGGAACAAGGGGGGGGGGCAGAGGGGGCGGTTGCCCCGGGCGGCAGGGTTGAGGGGCGGCAAATTTCTGGTTGCAGAAAATTTGTTTAATACAGTTTGTAAAAGTTTTTAATGAGCCAAACGTCATAAGGAACGTCAATTAAGTAATTTCAAAACTGCATAAACAACAATTTTACAATAGCAATCAATATAAATTGCAACAGATTAGAAAACACTGAGAGCCCTCATAGCATAGTTAGCAGCACAGCAAAGTTTGTTTACAATTTCAGCTGATCGCCATCCCAGTCAAGGCGCCATGCCGCCCTGGCCTCACTGCCGTGCCCCGTGCCGCCGCCCCCCCTCCCTCTCCCACTCTACATAGGAACGCACCGCTCCCCTTCCACACCACTCGCTATCAGCGCACAGGTTCACGCTTGAAAAGTTCACGTTGTGACTTGTACTGTTTATATCAAAACTCCTGCGTCTTTTGTTGTGTTGCGTAGTGCAACTACTGTATTCCGTGTTTTCTGCTGTCGTCTAGTTTTTTCCTTCTACATGTATATCGTCTACATCAATCAATCAATCAATCAATCAAATATTCTTTATTCAAGTTTAGACAATATGTCTTAAATAGCGTCATTAAACTAACATAAAGAAAAAATTATAAACTATAAAATGATAATTATACATAATTATCATCTGTTATCGCACTGGTAATAATGTAATGTTTACTTCTTTTTACTGTTGCCTTGTTGTTTAATATAACATGGATGGTCGAAAAAGGCTTAGTGGAGCACAGTACAAAAAATCAGCTAAAGAAAAGAAGAAGAGGTAAGACGATGTATTATCAAAGACACGGAAAATTGACCTGTTTTATAAAAACACTGCAACTGCAAAAAATGGTAAGTATAACAAGCCTCAAACATTAGCTTTGATAAAGTGATCAAAGAATTTGCCTCCAAAAAGAGTCGTAAAGTAATCATTAGAGATTAAGTTGTGACACATCTAAAGTCTATACTCCTACTACCTACATACCATTGTTATTTATAGTGTGAATATTTGTATAAATTATAATACTATAAAAACTATGTCAACTTTTCTTAATTTATTTGTAGTTTACCTATTCCATTTTTGTTTAATTTGTGAGGGATTTTTTGTTGTGGGTGAAGGGGGGGGAGGGGCGGCAAATTTTAGTTTGCCCCCACTCAAAAATTGTCTAGATCCGGCCCTGGACCAAATATGTACATTGCTTGAGTGGAAGGTACCGGTAATGAGGCCAGTGAATCTGTGAGAGGCACAACTAATCATGGGTCTGCATTTTATGAATCAAATACCTTTGACATATTCTTGATCTGTGTTTCTGTCAGCATAAGCGTTAAGCAATTTTGTGTTGGTGAACAATTCCAACAGTCCAAATTGAGATGATAATATAATTTGTAAAAAAACCATTCACAAAATCATCATTTATCTAGTATTTAACAAAGGGCTTTAAGGTTAATAAGTTTTTCATTAACAGAGAATATGCTCCAGATTATCTCAAATGTTACAGCTTGCATATGTCTATAGGTGAGTATTAATCTAGTCTGAGAAGAAAATACTGATGTCCCAGAACTTACTTTTGGTGAAGGAACGATGCTGAATGTGTTCATGATTCTGTCAGGATACTCCTCCCTGATCTTGGAGATGAGCAAAGTACCCATGCCTGACCCAGTGCCTCCACCTAGGGAGTGAGTCATCTGGAAACCCTGGTGACAATTACAAAACGTGGAGTAAGATTTTGTTAAATAGATGGAATGTTAATCAGTTTAGCACAGAGATTTGTTATGCAAAAAGATAAGGGTATTTTCAAAGGTAAGATCAGCTTCAGCATATATACTGAAGCTTTAAAACATGATCCCTGCAGCTTTGTCCAAGTTCTGTTAAGAAGCAGCTGAGGATGAGACATAAGAACTTTCACTATATACTAATATATACTAATAGATACTAATATATACTAATATACTAATATATACTAATATATACTAATAATACTAATAGATACTAATCGATTTCAATTGTAACAAACCCATTTTAATTTAAATCACTTTTAATTTTTTCTTGTTACCCATGGGTCGAGCTAGTTTTATGATTAGATCAACTCGTTTTGGTTTAATTATAGGTTTAAAATAACCGAAATAACAAGAATTGCCTTCAGCTGATCTATAGGGATGAAAAATCTACAAAGGGGTTATGTTTAATCTATATAGCATCACATACTGACTTTCTGTACAGAGTTCATGATTTGTGTGCCTGACATTTGAAGCCCACGGCTTGCAATTGCAAAAGTGTTTAAGTCAGCATTTTTAAGGCCAGAACCAAGTAAATTTCTCTTAAATAAACTCACAATGAATTGCATTGTGGAGCGGAGTTAAAGCAATTAACATATACACCCAATATTTCTTTTTAAAGGTTTTCAGTAAAAAAATGTTAACCAGACAATGGGCCGGAGTTTTTATTGGGCCAAGGGGCGCCAAAATGCTAAATCCAGCCTTGAATGTAATCTAATATGATATGAAAATAATTGAATTGTGTACTATTCAGGGAATAAATATAGTAAAAAAAATTGAAGCAATTTACTGTTTATGTACAAGAAGGAAATAAAGTATTAATTTCTAGCTTAGTTCACTAGTGCAGTGTTGACTGAGAGGGAATAGCAGAGTATTTTGCCTTATATTGTGGTACCACTGATAATTTAAAAACTAGCCGTTAGATAGGTCAGTGGAAGGTCAGCACTGGGCTAAGTTTGTTGGGAACTCGTCGACAAGGTACGAAATTATTTTAATTAATTTTAGATTTAAGTATTATTGAAAATTATGTTTTGTGATTACGTTTTACAGGTCCCCTAGGTTCTGTCAAAGAAAGATTTTAGTTTTAGTTATCAATGAACGGCTTATAGCGTAATAACCAGTTGAGTCCTCATGTGATTTTACTCTAATTTTTGCTTATTTTATCCTTTTGAGAAATATTTAAATAAGTGGCTATATTAATACCTGAATCACTATAATTATTTGATGTCTTAATGTATTACAAACGAACAATGTTTTACTAATGTTTAATAATGTTTAAAGGGTCAATATTTAAATAGCCATGTGTTATTTTCAGGTTAGACCTTGTTTAGAATACATTTTATTTGTATATTGGGTAATGTTTCAGACGAGATTCAAGGTGAATTAATTGCCTTATATACTGCCATGGTGATTGCCAATAGCTATGAGTAGCAGTAAGAACAGCCCAGGGGAGCCTAACCACTGATAATGTCACAGTTTAAAGTAAGATCCACACATTTATTTTGTTTTGGGGTCTAATATAGCCAACGGTTTATTTAATGTAGTCTTATTTTTGAAGAAAGAATTTATTTTGGTTGTAACATGTCTTTTGAATTTGAGTTCAAGTGAATAAACATCAATATCATTGAAGTGATTGGGACTTATCCATGCTACCTGTCTACCACTAGAGGATAGTAAATTTAATGTTACAGCAAGATATACTATGATTTCTATTAACATTAATTACAAATCTGAACTGTCATCAAAGAAAAACATTTTGTTCTTAAATTGGTTTTGAGTGCGTGTAGGCTACATAAATGACCTCAGCATAAGGTTGTCTCCGACCTAATTAATAAATTTCCAAACTATTAAAACCCACGGACTATTGGTGGAATGTCTTAGGGAGTATAATAGTTTTAGAGAGGAATAACCACTGAAAATTCTTAGCAAATTTTGTCTTTACAAAATCCTTGAAGCGAGAATGATAGTCTTTAGGAGTACAACAATTAAGTGTGACACATACCTGTATACAGTCACATCCCTCGGCCTCCTTGCGTACAACATCCAGTACAGAGTCCACCAGCTCTGCGCCCTCCGTGTAATGCCCCTTGGCCCAGTTGTTGCCAGCTCCGCTCTGGCCAAACACAAAGTTGTCTGGCCGGAATATCTGGCCAAACGGCCCAGAGCGCACAGAGTCCATGGTGCCGGGCTCCAGGTCTACGAGCACTGCTCTGGGAACGTACTTTCCTCCTGGAAAATATAACTGACTTTTCACTGGATCGCTTAAATTTTTAACACATTCCATGCGGTTGTCTGATGGACAGGCAATGCGCTATGTGGATAAGTGTGTGGAAATGTTAAAAATATTTGTCATGCAATGGAGATGAATTATTCATGAATAATGTACTGTACTGTGTTCCAGTGGTTTTGGAAGTAGTTATACATGAGACCAACAGAGCAGAGCACTAAACAAAATTGCTAATGATCCTGTACGCCACACCCTCAGTCAGGCTTACAGAGAAATAAGGTACAGAAAAGAGAAAACTTATTTATGGGACGACTGTGCGCTTTCAGCTCTAGTAAAATGTGCCAAAAATATACTTATGTGACGAGCAAGGAAAAGCACAAAAGGCGATCACTGAGCAAATTCTTATCGCTCAGGGAACAGGGTTTTCCACCATGAGCATTGTAATACACAAAGGTGAGGGGGGATGTTGGACTTTTCCCTATACATTAGCAACTAGTGCTTGACATTACTTAGGTGTACCATTATAATTGTGTGTTTTCTACCTTACTTCTCTGTGGGCATAGGCATGGAAAACGGAATGGGGTTCCATTAACATTGGCAAAGGGGGCCCAAGCCTCCCTTATAAGACCCTACGTTAACAGGGTACAAAAAAAATAAATTTATGATACATTAAAGCAAATTTATTAAATTTAGTAACAAACATTTTCTGGGGGATTACCCCTGAGCCCCTTTTTTCTGTGGGTTATTATCTGTACCCTCCAGTCCCCCCAGCTTCCCCTATGGAACCTTATATTCACAATCAGTAGAAGATTTTGACACCTATTATGATAAATTTAAGATATCAACAATCAACATACAATACACATCCTTGAAACATGTTTTTGTGTATTCAAATGTGCATTGAGGAGATACTTGAACATTTTAAGTTTAGAAATGTATAACTTTTAATTGCTTCCTTCTTCCTCTTTTTCTTTGGGACTGAATACATGTTAATTGAAATATCAGACCGTTAACAATGAGAACTAGATTTTGTTATAGTTTTATTATATTTTATAAATACCTGTTGCTTCATTATAATAAACATTGATTCTCTCCAACTGCAAATCTGAGTCGCCATGATAAGTTCCTGTCGGGTCAATTCCGTGTTCATCAGAAATCACCTCCCAAAACTGAAAACATAAGGAACTAAAGTTATTGTAAAAAATACGCCATATTTTTTATTAGTTTTTGTAGTTAGCCAAAAAATTAGCAAGCATATATGAGTAAATTATTACATTAAAGGCAATTGTTTACTAAAACACACTGATTACCTAAAAGGATCTATACTGGAAAGTACCAGCTCTTAAATAATATTGATTCCAATCAATTGAAATAATTTGAATTGAATTTTTCATTGAATCCCAAATCCTATAATCGCAACACTGGACTCTTGTATAGCAAGGGTGCAGGGATAATCCGTTCATCTTGGGCTGCTGGTGTGAGGCGAGGGAATGCTTGCTGAGTTGGCCAGGCCATAACCGACTGGGGACAAAGTTTCCCGACATGGCAACAGCGCTCTTCGGCTTAGCTCTGAGTGCTGCCTAGGAACTAATTAATTGTTTTTTAACCCAAAAATGTGTAAAAAAATATTTAGTATGGCGTTGGGCTTTGTCTACTCTATTTTAGCCAATACCATCAAGCATATTAGTTTTTTTTAGGTCAACCAAAATCTACAGATACTCCCATTTTGTCTTGGTATTCTATTTGTTTTTTGGACAGAGTGTATATCCATAGACAGAGCTACAAACTATAAACTGAACCATTTTCAACATTCATTTACATATAACACTATTAGTGAAGAGAATAGTTTTTTTACTGTTATGGTCTTAGTTTCTGAAATTAGGTAGGTCTATGAGTTGTAAAAGAAACTATTCCAAATAACACATTATTGGTTTTGGTGAAATAAATAACATCTATTTACCTTAGCACCAATTTGATTACCACACTGTCCTGCTTGAAGATGTACAATTTCTCTCATTTTGATACTATTTTTACTTAAATAAAATTCACAAAAGACAAAACTATACAAAGCCAATTACACACAAATTTCAACAATGTCATCAAGCTCCAGCCCAAGTAACTCAAACTCAAACTTAGGAAATATAAAAACATATGATTACACCTGTTTGTTGTAGTAAGTTAGGTGATAATATTTTCAAATATAAATCATACTATAATAAGTACCTACTGGTAGATTTTAAAAAAAATTGAATTGTGTGTTCATGTTACCGTACCTAAAATTTAATGATTATGAAAGCTATTCATAGCTAGCTATCTTGTTAAAACCTAATTGTAAAATGGTGTTTGCCGTTTATGTTCAAAAATAAATAAAAATAATAATAAATAAATAAATGAAACTATGATGTGAATTGAAGATAGTTTACCTTGGATGGGTAATCCAATTTTAAGTTATGTGTTTAATTGGTTGCTGTACGCTGTATACCATTTATACTGTATATATTATCTGTCTATTTATGTCTTGTCTACTCCTTTAATCTATGCCTGTACCAGGGTTTCCTCACTGGAAAGATTTTTAGTTGTCACCTACCTCTACCTTTTTCCAGGTAACTTGTTCAAGGGTGTTAGAAAAATATGTCCAACAACTACATTTTTTTAAAGTAATTTTGAATAGGTACCTGTAAGATATGTGTTTTCACCATTTTCAACGATTGAAAAATGGGCTTTGAAGTAATTTACAAAAGGGTAAAACTACTTTGTATTGGTGTAAAACTTGTTTCATCAATATAATATAGGCTTTACATTTTCAATAGTTTTCATTTGACTTTTTAAGCTAGTTTTTCGTGTCTAGTTTATGTCCGGTGACACTAGGTGTTAGCATTGACTAAGGTTGTTTGTTTCCCTTGTCTGTGATGTTAGTGTCGGTGAATAAATTTTGTCTTTCTTAATTTAGGGGTAATGTCATGATTTGTGCTTTACTAGGATAGCTATATAACTAGGATACGAGTTGATTTATGATTATGTTTATTTGGTTAAACGAGGTTTTAAATTACTGAAACAACAAGAAAATTATTGTAATCAAAACACGACCTCTAGAGTGCACCGGGTACAAAACTAACAATAAAATTGGCTTCATCTGTCTCATAAGAATGATAAATCTACTAAGGGAGTATGATTTTATCTATGCTGATGGATAATGAAGTAGACCCCATTTAAACGATTAATTAGATGTATTGACATTTTATTAAAAAAATAACGTAGTTTTGTGAACCAGTCACAGAATGCGCTAGTGTCAAAAATTCTATTGTATGCCTTGTTTTTTGTTGCTGACCAGGTTGATGGGTCATAACCATAACAGTTCCTATAGCCCACCAAAGTCAAGTCATCCCTAAGTTTGACTTGGTAAACAAGTTTGTACATTCGAAAGAATTTAGTAATTTAGATCAGCGTGTAATCTGTCGGTGGCTCACATAAACTACGACGATTTTAATAAAAAAATCTAGCTACAAATTTTACATAGGGATGGGATGTCAAGTTGTATTGATGGTCAAATACGGTTATCTAGCAGTGTTAAACCAAAATTGTATAATACTCATCAAATCATATGATAAAACATACTCCCTTTAGTAGATTTCGGATTTCCCATACTTATCGAAACAGCTGAAGACAATTTTATCGTTAGTTCTGTCCGGCGCACTGTAGATGTCATGTTTTGTTTACAATTTGTTTCTTGATATTTCACTCATTTAAAACCTTGTTTCACTCATCTTATCATAAACAATAACTGGTCTCCTATAGTTATATAACCAAACAGTAAAGCACAAAATCATGAAAAATGTACTCTAAAATAATAAAAACAAAACTCCGTCGACACTATTGCCAAAAGTGTCACCGGTTTTCAGCCATACGGCAACGGTAGTGTCTAGTCTAGAGTGTCAGTGTCCGCGATGCTGGCGTTCGACGTTCGGCCGCATCCTTTCTTTTTTATTGAATTTTCGGCATATAATGTTATCATTCATATCATTTTAACCTCTAGATGATTGAAAACTTGAATTGTACATAGTATAATGCAGTAGCAATCGTGTGTGTTGGGTGCAAGTTTATAAACACTTCTTAGATAAAATAAGTTCTCTGGTTCAAAATCTTGGTCTGATTTTGGACATATTCTGTTTAGCATGCACATCGGCATTAGTTGAAAGGGCATTTTTGTAAATCAATAATGTTTGAATGTGTTGTAATTTTGCTGTATCCCCTAGTAATTAAAACCACAAGTCTCAATATTGCAAAAACAGTACAAGTTTATTATTTTTTAAATTTCTTTGACTTTAAATAAGCTGGGAAGCTTGAACAAGCTAGGTCCTCAAAATAGCTAATAAACCACTCATTTTAGCACGTTATTTCCAATTTTCTTCCGGGGGGAACCCACAGACCCCCCTTTGTTGGGGGGGTATTCCATACCCCCGGGCCACCCGCGTGATGACCGCCCCCCCTAAATATATGTCTAGGACCACCTTTGGGTATCCAGATCGAATCCTTCCGGTGACACTAACTTTTTGTCAAACATTTTGCTTAGAATGCGATAACTTTATCTTTCGTCAGAATTTGAGGCATTTATAATTTTATTTTATGAGCAGAACTATTTTTTCAATTAGTAAACCTAAATTAGATTTTTATTTTATATGTTTTTTATATTATCAGCAAGTTTGGTTAGATAGGTTAGGTTATGTCAGAGTTTGTTTTTATAATTTAATAAATAAAATAGTTAAAAAATGAACAGATTGTAAATAAAATTGTGATACAAAATTTATAATTTTTCATTTTTTTCTCTCGTTTTTTCCTTATTGAAAACCCGTAGCTGAAATAAAAATTGTGCTTCCGTTTCAGATTATCATAGATCTGAAGATCTAGGGGACGATCTAAAACTGGACTTATCTGACTTTGTTGTTAAGATCACAAGTAATTACCATACATCAATAACAAATTATAATAATTGACAACTTATTCTGTTCTGATCAAAAATTAAAAAAAAAATTCATACATGTTCTTCAATACTTTCCACATTTGTATAATGAAGCCTAGTATAATATAATAACTACAAATAAAGATTTTCATTTTCATATATAGACCTAGTATATGGAAGCTTAAATCGGTTTTATTTGTGTGGCTGGACAGCCTGCTTATTTGGCTACGTCAGTACATTCTGCTTTGACAAGTATTGTTATTCTGCTCTCCGCTCATGTTTTTCCGTCTTCTCCTTTCTGCTTTCTCCGTCTCCGTCATTTGCTCGTTTCAATTTTAAGTATAGGCTGTACGAGGTGAATAACTTACCATAACATGGCAGACGTGGTTCAAGATGTCGTGGCAAATATTACTGAGAAGTTGACTGAAAGTAGTGCAAATGCAACGGCGAAAATACCTGCAACGCCTGAGGGGATGGCTGTTGCTTATAGTAGTTTGGTTATAATGGCTCTCCTTCCAATATTTTTCGGGTCATTCAGATCAGTAAAACACCATAAGGAACAGACTGTAAGTATGATAGACCTAGGCTAATCAAACTAGCAATTCTCCTCATAAACGTTCGATGTTGGTAAGATTTAAGCTTTAACTTCGAGCATAGGCCTAGGCCTAGTCCTAGTTTGTGTGCATTGCATTGTAGGTGCAAGCCCATAGGCCTATTATTTATTTATGCGGGCCTTGGATTAACCTTTTCTTTTCATCTTGCTAGAAATAAGTTTTTAAATCCAAATTTCATAGGCCCTAAGGTTTAATACTTTAAGCGAGCGATTTCCTTTCTTGGTTTCATCCTTAGTGCTCTCAAGCAACTGCATTCATTGCAATTTGTTGCTCTGTAGCCTAAGTTACCAGCACATCGGTTAAGTTTCCAATATACACCAAAAACCGCTCGGTGCTTAACACGTTCGCTATTACCGCAATCGTAGGCCTACAAAATTTTTCATTCATATATGGACCTGCGACGGCCGGTTTCTAGCCTACCCATAGACTGTCATCACGTATGTGCGACGGCTAGTCACATTAAAATAGACTGACGATGCATATTTGCGTCGTTGTTCCAATGTTATATAAATGTGTATAGGCTATCTTTGTAACAGTCTGAAGGCACCGAATTCTCTGCAGTGGTCTACAGGGATGTCTGACGCACAACTACGTCGCTTGGTCTGTGGATATGATGATTGGTGATGTCATATAATAGTTAAATATATATATATATATATATATAAGTTATACATATTTAAAAATGTGAACGAATAGTGTTTTTGACCTCAGGAGACATCAAAATGAAAAAGTAAATTGGTCCCAGTTCTAGGTCTTACCATGCCACCTACGGTAATAGCGTATTCCCTATAGGGGAAACTCGCTAAAAACTTTACTTTGCACCAAAAATTAACTGTCACATAAGTTATATGAGATGTTTGGGCTATTTCAAGAAAAATAGGTACAGTATAATAATTTTCACCAAGTACCGGTATTGTATTTGCTATATGCTACCCTAGACCGGGTTTCGCAAATATGCGACATTACAAATGGTTATCAATAATATAAAAAGAACAAGAAAGTATTAGCCTTTTTCAAACACCATTGGAGTGTATTAACAAGTAAATTATCATTTTTTAACAGGTTTTTGCCCGTGGTCTGCGTGTAAACTTACTGTTATCAAGTGTCAGCCGGTCTAAGTGTAACATTAAATTGTAGGCCTATACTGTACCTCGGTCCGTGACAATGATGACGTTCCTTTCCGAGCGTCGCATATATTATGCGACGCTCGGAAGGGAACGTAAGTTATTTAGGAAGTTACTAAGATTTAACTTAGGCCTATGTACCGGTACCGGTACCTACCGTACTTAATGGACTTTTTGCGATCAAAGTTAACCTCCAGAGGTGTGGAAATTTGTTGTGATTTAGTTAAAACACCTGTTTAAATCCCCATTTTAATTTCTCTTACAACCAATCTAAGTTAAGTTAATACAAATTAAACTTAATGGCTAAAACGTGCCTTGTCAGATAGTCAATAATAGAATTAAAGGTTTTTACAAAATTTAATCATGCTATAGACACTCAACTATAATTACCAGGTCATTATAATCAGCAGATAGCCTATCCCCCTACTGTCCGGCTTGGACAAAATGTCAGCGGATATATCCACCCATACTTAGTCCTGGAAGGTTAAAATTATTTATCATGCCAAGACTAAAATCTCTTACTGGTTTTCAGGAGTCAGGAGAAACCCCTGAAACGATGTCCCATAAAGATGCGGCCATGTTTCCACTAATAGCAAGTGCCGCTCTGTTTGGATTATATATATTTTTTAAGGTAAGTGTGAATGTAGCCTATTTGGCTGCAAATTATTAGACCTGCAGTAGCCTATTTTTGTTTCAGGTAAAAGAGTACAAAACCCACATCACCATAATTTTCTTCTTTGAAGTAGTTGAAATAGTACAAAAATTGTATATAGCCTATATTGAGAGGGAAGTTCTATCCATGGACAAGTCAAAATGACTTAAGATTAACTTAACCTAACCTCCAAACTTCTTCCAATAGGTCTCCTTCAGTACCGGTATCCAATATTGCACAATTTCATACCTACTTAAAAAATCACAGAAACAGTAATATCCTAAACTAACTTAAACTGTCCATGAAAGAACTGGTCTAGGCAGAAACAATAAACAGGTATTGGTACTGCTTTCTCTTTAGCCTAAGTTACTTATTGTGAAGATTTTATTTGTCCAGAAAACACACATATTAACAGTGCAAGCATATTCCCCATTGATTATTTCGTATTCTACAGAGGAATGTCCAAAATTAGTCATTTGTGCTCAGTCATTGTATTACAAGACAGAATGGATTCTATTATTGTAGTTGCGATGAACTACGTCCGTCATATCACTCCCAAACCGAAAGTTAACCATAAGTGGCCTATCAAAAAGCTAAGTTAGTTATAATGAAAATCAAAGAGAACAATAACCTAAACATTTATATAGCCTAATACATTTAGAAACATTGAATATGGCTAAAAATAAGTTTTACCTTTGTCTACAGCTCAGTCAGTTGTAACTTACGTAACGGACGTTTTCGGCATGACTATAAAAACATAACACGAACTACATTTAACAATTAGGCTAACGAAAATACGAACATAAAAAAGGCCTGTCGCACATACTGTAAGAGTACGACTTGTTTGCGAGCCGGGTGTGCGGGGGGAGGGCGGTAGCAATCTCCCACCACGCAGCCAAAGTTTCCGTGGCATTGGTCTGACTACGCTTTCTAAAAACATTCAACCGTTGAACCAGCAGAGTTTGCGTTGATTTCCTTTTTTGCTTAAATTTTTTTTAATGTAAATTAGAATATAATTCAAATACATTATGATGCAATTACTGAGGGTTCTATAGTATTGTTTTTGTTCTGTAGTAGTGTATTTAATTTCCACATAACTATGTAAAATGTAGGCCTACACCAAACGGTAAAATCTTAGTATATTCAGGGTGTCTACCTGTCACGGATGTCACCGAAGTCCCCGAAAAGTCACCGATTTTAGTAATGTGTCACCGATGTCCCCTATTGTCACGGAATTTGCTTAAATTGTCACCTAAATTTTTGTAGACCTACAGATTTTTATTTATTTTTGGGACAACACTAAATCTTTAGACGAAACTTGTCATGTATCAATAATATTATACTATCACGTACAACAGTTAATCTAGTCTAGATTTAGACTAGATGATTCCAAATAAAATGATGGCGATGCAAACTGCGAAGTTAATACCATGTTATCATCCGAAAACTAGTCAGTTTAGTACTGTAGCTAGTCAGGCAACCGGCCAAATCTTGCCGACACAAAATTATTGTGCCAGTTCCAGTATCAAGACAAATTTTGCAATGTCTCTTATGGAGTCAGGCAACCGGCCTGTGTTTTGTCTGCACGAAAATACCATACAATAATGGTATTACCGTAGCTTACCAGTCTCGGATAGAGTCAGGCAACCAGCCTGTGTCTCACCGGCACGAAAATATCGTGCAAATAATGCTCACTTGCTACCGTAGCCGTAAGGTTGAGGTCAATTCCATGTACGTAAACTAGTTAAAATACCTCCAATAAAAAGACTGTTCAGACATTTTTTTTTATAAAAAAATATATAAAAGAACACTTACATCTGTGCATTAGTTTTACACGTTCACTGCGCTACAAGATCCAGAGGTCTCGTATCGTACCTAGCCCGTTGTGCGGGACCCATAATTTGGCTTCTTTCCTTTTACTTTATTACGATACGAGACCTCTGGATCTTGTATCAAAAATAATTGTTCCATGCACCGCATGAGGCTAATCGGCTAATGGGGTGATTAGTAAACCATGGCAAGTTGTTGAATGCTTGGATGAATGAAGGAAACCGAAGAAATAATTCAAGAACGAAGAGAAAGAATAATGGCTTTTTTATGTTGATATATTTATGAGCTATCTAATGTTTTATAGGTTTACATAATAATTTTTTTCAACAACGCGAACATACATTATTTTTAATTATTGACGTGTTTCCCTTCTGAAACAGCAGTAACGGATGCGTATAATAAAGATCATTGGTCAATGACCTAAAATATCACGATTGTGCAATGTTTTATTTTTATGTAAAAAGCAAATCATGGCATTAATTCGAATATTTCTCCTATGGTTCCTACTAAATCAATAATAAATAATTGTCAAACCGAACAAGGAATTTCTGATAAACAACTTTGTATCATTGTTTTGCGATTGGAATCCCCTTCCCCAGCCCTTTAGGAAAGTGGTGCAAGTCTAAATATAGCTTCAAGGTTATACACCCACCCCTTCCCCCCGCCCACTCTACTCACGGTGGCTCCACTCATTTCGAGGTCATTGCCCAACCCCATAATTATAACGAAATAAACTAAACACAGTAATTTGTAAATATATTTCATTTGTATTTTATTTAGCCTGAAATCAGCCATAAGGAAATGCATCCTAAAAGATGAGCACTTTATGAGTAGGAGCATAGATAAAACATGAGTGTTTTATCCATGGTAGGAGCTAATGATTATAAGTTCCACGATTGATCAACATCATGTTTATCATGTTTATTGTTTAACATTTATCTATTGTTCTCTTCACTCCCTTTACTTATACGTCTACGATCAGTTTGCCACTTCTAGAGAATTAATTGTTTTCTAGGGATGATCGTTTTCCGGCGTTTGAAAATGAGTTCTGTATTTTACATTAAGATCCTGAATTTATATTAGGCCTTGTTTGTGACTTAATATACACTAGTGTCCCTGTTGCTCGAATTCGAGCAATTTCTAAGTAAGCGTTATTTTAAAAGGAACAACGGTCATAATGTATGATGACTTTAAAAGATTCGACCCAAAGATTATGGAAATATTCAAGATGTACATAACAGAATATATCAATTAATCCAGGCTCTCTTGTTTTTTTTTCCATTGTAATATTTACGCCATCCCGAATTCAAATAGTAAATATTTCATTTCAACCAAGTCAGTAAATGTTTGTAGCAAACTGTAAAATTAGCAAACTGATTGACTGATTAAAATTAACATATGTTCTTCTTCTCACTTTTAATGTCTTACAACAGCTGGAGTTGCATAACCATTTTTGTATCCCATGATAATCTTATGGAGAAATACGAAACTTTAAAGGGCCCCAGGCCCTCACTCTCTGATTATTTCCCTAAAAAGAAAGTTTCCTGCACAACTTCACGTTACGCTCATTCCAATGACACCAAAAACATGTCAATCGGTTCAGTAGTTTCGGAGGAGTAATTGTCACAAAAAACATGCTTGCGTATTAAATAAGTATAGATTTTTTACTACAAACGCAAATATAAAATTAACTCACAGAAATTTACTTAGTTCGATGTCACTGATTTTTGTAGATAGGGACCCCAAATGTCCCCGAAATGTCACTGATTTTTCAAATAGCTTACTGGTAGACACCCTGATATTCCAATTTAATTTTAAAGTTTGACTTATTAGGTGTAAACCATTAATTCAGTTTATAGGTGATATCTTAAGTTGTAGTATTTTATGTAAAAACACAAACATATAGACCTATAAACAGAAAACCATAAGGTTTAGTACATATAATTATGGAAACTTTTTGCTTATTTTCATATCATGTAGGCCTAGGCCTATATTAAATAACACGTTATAATATCGAACGGTTTTTCCGAACAACCTGTAAAATGGTTAATGGATTGCAGTTATTTATTTTCTCTAAGTTGATAAAACAAAACTCTATTTTATGACAATATTTTATTACCTTATTATTATCTTATTTTATTACTTCGGAAGAGTGTTGTACTCTATCATGTTCTATCGACTGTCAGTTTATTGGACTATATTGTGGAATTGAGTAGTGCGGTTGAGTAATTAATGAGAGATTAATGGTAAAAAGGGCAAACCATTCACAGTGAAACGAGGGAAATTATAAGACCCATAGGCACCGTGTGTTGGTTTACGCCATGGTTTTACGCATCCGCTGGGAGTTGAAGTAGTATAGACAACATTTTTAGGGCGAGTAGTAGCAGATAACCAAGCACCGGGCTGTGGTGGGGGCCCCTCCTGGCCGCGGAGGCGGTAGAGGGGCCACGCGCAAACAAGTCGTGTGCTTACAGTACGTGACCGGTTGACATTCTGATCTGAATTGGATACTGATTCACTTGCCATGTTGTTTCATATGTTGTAGGCTCTTTAATATGATTTAGGCGCTAGTAAATAGATTCAAGATTTAGTTCCTTGAATGATTTTGTACAATTAATTTTAATAAAGAATTATTGTATTGTTTTTTGACAATGTTGTATTTGATTTGTTTCAGCTATTTTCAAAGGAGTACATCAATCTATTACTCACAGGATATTTTTTCTTCCTAGGAATCTTTGCTCTTTGCCACCTTATGAGGTAAATACATTTTTACTAGAAATTGTGTAAAGAATCCTCCCTACCGGTAACTCGATTGATTGTGGACCCAAAAGTTGTTAAGTTTGGGGGTTGACGAGTTATCCAGAACTTTGCAACAATTTTTAATGGGTTTTAGTAAATAAATACAAAACAGACTAATTTCATTACTAACATGAGTATTTTTTTATTGAGTAAACAATTTTCAAAGAAATGTCAAATATTCAACAGTTAAAACTTGAAAAGTCAACACAACAGTAAGATAAAGCCAGCTGGGCGTGCCCTTGTCAGCTGTTGACTTTCGAGCTACAAGGACTGTCAAGTTACCAGGTGTCGAGTAGTTAGGTTAAAATTAGCATTGTGTACCTATCTAATTATTGGAGACCCTTAGATGTAGACAAAGACTTATGAAAGGAGTTTATTGTTCCAGTTACTATTCACTATAATTATCGATTTACAAGCTGAGGTGCGTCTAATAGAGACCATAAATCAATTTTGTCTGGGTAGGACCAAAGTACACACCTAGGTACCAGACGGACCTCGGATTGACCTGTGCAAGGAACTTATCCCCTACTTACATAGGCTGGGTGGTCTCTGCGATTAAATCCCATTGCCTGTCACTGAATTGGAAATGTATTTCCAATCAAAAATGGAAATGTAGCAAGTAATTTTGAAAATATAAAATCGGTTGATCGAGGCAAAGCAACATACTGTGTTATGTATTCGTAGTTGTCTTAAAAACAATTTGTGTTGTTCCCATTTTAATCAGCCTATTTTAAATGCAGAGTGAAACTTAATACACAAATAAGTTTTTACAGTATCACTCAACCAATGCAGATCAAATTTTCATAATTTTATTATGACTAAAATCATATTAGTGAGACAGTTGAATTTTTCTCTCTGCGTTTCAGAATTATTAAATGCTGTACAATCGTTTGTGTTACAGGTATAGTTTGTAAAATTTTAGAATAGCTTTGAGGTCAGGTTAGGAGTAGTCATTAAGACTATTGCTTTTATCACTAGCCTACATAAGTTGTCTTGATCCTCGACCCATGTTTCACCCTTCGTCCTGCGGAAAAAACCAGGTTGAAATTTTCTCAGCGTGGTTGACTAAGTATAATATCTTATTGCAACGGAACGTTTGAACTATTTAGGAGCAACGCATAACGTTCTTGAAACTTATCCTTAAGAACAACATTTATTTGTTGTTGCACGTTTCCGGCTTCGGTGGGTGAGGAAAAAATGTGCCTGAATCAGTGGTGTAGTTAATGAGGTGGCGGCTAATGGGATTTCCTCCCAGGGACAACCATTGTATTGTTTAAACCCTGTAGGGGATTACTTTCTTAAAAAAGATTTACATCTGGTATCTACATACACGTACCTCTCTCTGTTTCCCATGATTATCCTCAGGAGATCAGCAGTTACCAAGAGGGATCATGAAAACAATTCACTCAACACTTTTTATGTGAAAAAAATGGATTTTTTTTAGAACCATCCCATTGTCTGTGTCTTATTTTAACCAACCATGTTGTTGTAGCCCTCTGATAAGCTCGCTGGTGCCAGCAGCCATTCCCAACGTCCCGTTCCATCTGAGGTTCACTAAGGGCGAAGGTGACGGTAAAGAATACCTGGTAGACTACAAGTTTACATCCCATGATCTAGTCTGTCTTGCCTGCTGTTCTGTCATCGGGGCCTGGTACATCATGAAAAAGGTTTGTCTCAAAACCAGCATCATCTCATACTTTCCCTATGACTAAAACTATAGTAGACATTCTATTACCAAATCAAAACTCTCAGCCAGTGTTTGAATACAGATCGATGTAGGCTACATTATTTGAATTGAGCAACGATTAGAGATGGAAATTTGGAGAAATCTTCGGAAAATTTTAAATTTTGTTTTACGAGACGAGATTTTATTTTGATAAAGATTTTTTGGGATGAGACTAAAGAAAAAGACTGTTAACTTGTTCACTACTGCAATAGTACGAAATTTTTCATTCACATGGACCAGCGACGCACATTTCAACACACCCAGGCTATGCGACAGCCGGTTTCTACCCATAGACTACCGTCGCATATATGCGTCGGGGTTCTAATATTATTAAAATGCTTATATCTTTGTAACAGTCTTAAGGCACGGAATTCCCTGCAGTGGTCTACAGAGATGTCTGTGGATATGATGATTGGTGACGTCATATTAGTAAAAACTGGTCTTTACTTTTCTGCATCACTGTGTGTATGTTTGCAGTATGTATGCTGCATTATCCTCAGCTTTTATATTTGTTCAGTTATAAACTGTTCTTGAATAATCTGTTTTTTTACTTACTTTCACCTCAAAATACAAACAAAAATGAACTCTCGCATATATGCGGCGTTTGGGCTATTTCATACAACTATGATAATTTTCACTATTGTCTTCGCTGTAAACCAGGCGTTGCAAATATGCAACATTACAAAAGGTTATAAAAATTACAAAGAAACAAGAATAAATTATTTACAAACACGATTGCAGTGTATTACAGTGTAAATGATCACTGATTTACAGATTTTCGCCCATGGTCTGTGTGTACTGTTAACCAAGTTACAGCCGGTCTATGTGTAAGATCCAAATGTATACCTCGGTATGTAGCAATAACCGCGGCGTCGCATATACGTGTTAAAAACACCTGTAGAAAGTGAATGCAATACCTGTGATACAGGAGCGCGTTGTTGTTGGGTCATCTAGACATAACAATTGTCTCGTGCGATCAGCGGCAAAACATTGTTGACCGTGTTCCCCCTTGATATGCAGACAAAAAAAGTTTTAATAGGGCTTTTAGTCTAAGGCCCAATTCACACCGAACGGACGTCGGGCGGAGACGTGGCACGGACGAGGCACAGACGTGGCAGTGACGTGGCGTGTTCAATGCACACCGAAGGGACGGTGAAGGGACGGTACAGTGGCGAGACAACCTGTATGTAGACTAGACACTTTGGTTTTTGCTTATTTCATTTCTATTAATGTCAATGGTGTTAGTTAATTTCTGTCAACGTAATTAGTACAAACAAGGGAATTGTTCTACTTCCTCACAAAATTTGATATAAAATTCAATGTCGTCTCGCATAGTAAAGAAACAACTGACAATCTACACACAAAAACAACTCTACACAACAAGAATGGTAAGTACAAGCACACTATACACAAGAAGGTTTGTAAGTATAGTACAATATTTGCAGTCCGAACAACGGGCGCGCTACGGACATGCCACTTCCGATAAGCCACGAGGGACGCCGAAGCGACGTGGCGGTGGCGGGAGGGCGGCCGCCCGCGCCACGTCACTTGTGTGTGCATTGACCAATTTGTTTAGCCTACATGGGGAGGCGAGGAACGGACATATGTCCTCGCCACGTCCGTGCCACGTCTCCGCCTGACGTCCGTTCGGTGTGAATTGGGCCTAAGATGACAAATGTTTTCGCAGTTTCTGATGTGTTTTTCTCCGACAGCACTGGATAGCTAACAACCTGTTTGGCATTGCGTTCGCCATCAACGGTGTGGAGTTGCTGCATCTCAACAAGGTCGTGACTGGTTGTATCCTGCTCTGCGGACTGTTTGTCTACGACATCTTCTGGGTGTTTGGCACCAACGTGATGGTGACTGTGGCAAAGTCCTTCGAGGCACCCATCAAATGTGAGTTGTGTTGAACAACATTAGTTACTTGTAAAGTAAACTTAGTCTTGGTTGTTCTAACTAGCCGTGGAAATTTTGGATAGGCCATAAATTCACAACGGGAAAAATACTATTGTTAGTTAAAAATCATTAAATGAAAATTATTTCTTCGTTTTTTAACTTATTTGAGGTTTTGAAATGAAATGAAAATGAAATGAAATGAAAAATTCTTTATTTTACCAGGCAAAGTTAGGGCCACATGGCCCTCTCTTACACTTAACCTGACAAACTTAAATATAAATAAATAAAAATACAATGAAATTTCTTAATCTAATATAAATATACATATTTAACACATCAAGAACACGTTAAGCAAAAATTTAATTTATCTAACTAATTTACTAATTTTTAAAAAATAGTAATTTTTATAAATAGAATATACATAATTTATTTTTGTAAAAAAATACAACCGACTTCAAACGCTCTAAAAAGAATGAAATAATTTCAATAAAGTAAACTTTTGTATTAGTCGAGCTCACGTATTTTAAGTCGGCGCGGCTCTATGATGATTTTTGATACAAAATTGAAAGAGGGTGTCCATGTTGCAGGTGACTATCTATAACTAAATGTGTTTATCTGTATGTCTTTTTCATAGTTATGCGTTAAGTGTTATTTTATTACCGTAATCAGAGATCGGCATTATAGTGGTATTAACGAGTATTTTTAAAAAGATTATAACGCATTTAAATGTTTCTAATTTGGAAAAGTATCGTTTTAATACTAAACTAACTTATTTTCCCTCATAATATCAAACTAAATTATTTTCCTATTCATATAGAACATTTGTGTGTGTTATTTTCATAATGCATTTATTCTGAAGTAAACATAAAATACAAGAAAATATTTCCTTTGATATATAAACAAAACAGTTCAGTATGTTTTTTATATATTTATGTTATCCATCTACAATTTATTGATTTTCAAAATACACACACAATATTTAATTTTAATCATATTTGCAGTTTGAGCCGCACCGACTTGAAATACGTGAGCTTGACTAATACAAAAGTTTACTTTATTGAAATTATTTCATGATTTTTAGTGACTGTATAATTTTTTATATATTAATTACTTGAGGTTTTTTTATAAGCAAAACTGTTTGAAACAATCAAAAGTTCCACAGAACAATCATTATTTTAAAACTGCTTGAGTCACCTGTTCAGGTTACATAATCAATGGGTATAAAAATAAACATTTTTAGATATTCCTTAAGAAAGAAAGAGTTGCCCATTACATTAGGCCTAATGAAAAACTAATTGTCTTTTCTAGATAGGCCTACATTGAAATGTCAGACATCATCGTTTCCTGCAATCGGTTTACTTCTACATTATAAAAAGAAATACAGTAACGTCTCAAGCCTTTTGGAACAATATGAAAGTTATTCCTCAGCTACCATCACTAAAAAATCTCTCAAAAGTCGAAAATTGGTCGTTATCACATATAGTACCTTTGGAAAATATTATATGAAAGATTGGTTCAGCTAAAAGTGGTGTAAGCCATGTAGGGGGTTTTATTAGCTCAAGATATAGCCTAGTCGAAATTGCAAATCATCTTCCTCTAGGACTTTCCGAAGCAGGCATAATAGTATTGATTTGTTATAGGAACTGGGCAGAGAATATTAATAAACATTCCACATCTGCAAATGAAATATGTATATGAAAGATTGGTTCAGCTTAAAGTGGCGTAAGCCATGTAGGTGGTTTGGTTTGATCAAGATATAGCCTAGTCGAAATAGCAAATCATCTTCCCCTAGGACTTTCGGAAGCAGGCATAATAGTATTGATATGATATTGTAACTGGGTAGAGAATATTAATAAACATTCCACATCTGCAATTATGCATGTTTAGTAATTAAAATATTTAACACTTTTAAGACAATTGACGATTATGCACTGTCACACTTCTTAGGTCGTGTAAGGAATAATTGCATTTAATTTATATTTAGACCTGTTTTACGAATGCTTTGGTTTTCACAATACACCTTTATTTGTCAATATCATACAGCTATTCACTGAAACATATATGTTTTTGTAAGTCAGAATATTCAATACTAAAAACAGAATTACCGGTACTATATACACAAATCAGGTCAAACGTTAAAATACATTTTTTATAGTAACCAAAACAAAATGAATTTTTCTCAATGTAATTCATTTAGGCTCCATGGCAAGAAATAGTTTATTGATCAATATGAAGCAACTGTTTCATGAAGAATTGTCTGTAGCATTTAAATGCTTTCAACTAACAGCTGTAGGAATGTTATTATTATTTATTGCCTTCACTGCACAAATGTAAACAATCTGCACAAATTTAAACAAAATAAATGTTGAATATTTGTGGTTTTCAGCATTTTTCACCGAAACAAATATTATACTTAAACATAATATATAAGGTACCAAATAGAAACTCTCCTGGTTATTTTGGTGGTGGAACCACACTGATCGGTAAAAGAATCACAGAGAAATTGGTGAACATACACAGAAAAAAAAAACATCGCCACAAACAAATTGAGAACCTCCTCCTTTTGTTGGTAGTGGGGAAGTCGGTTAAAAATACCATTAATAGTTTGGTAAAGCATAAGGTAAAATGATACCTTTGACTAGACTATTAATACAACTAGACATCCCCATGTTAAATTTGTCACCAGTTTTTTAATCATAAAAATCATAAAAATTCCAATCATAAAATATTAAAATCATAAAATTTTTAATCGTCGTAGTTAATGTGAACCACGGAATGCGTCAAAATTTAAAGAGTTTTATTTAATACTAAACCTAATTGTACTGTCGATACAATTTATCGTCAAGACAATAAAGTATTTATTTATTTATTTATTTTGTGTAAGTATCAGTGTCAGCAAAATGATAATCTCCCTTTACAGCCATACAACAGTACACAGAAAAGCATGTTTTAAAATCATTTAGATTATTATGCTAAAACAAAGCTAAGTTTTCTGAAATACTAATCGGAATCTCCAGCTGAGGAAAAACAGAGAACACCACGAATGACCGGGAAAAGTCTGTGAATTATTCTTTAATTTTGTATGGATCCGGGTAATTTGTAAAAATTTCCAACAACCTTTGGCCCAGCACCCATTCATTAACGGTGTTCTGTTGGTTCTCTTCTAAGGTTGTTTATTAAAAAAATATGATCATGAAAAACGTAAACAGTGTCACCTGGATTAGGGGAATTGATCACGATAACGCTGTGATTGTGGGAGAAATGTTTTTGCCGATTACAGTCATAATCCATTTTCAATTTTATGCAATTTTAATGCATATCTGGCTAATCAAAGTAATTTGAACATGTTCCGGGTCCAATTAGTTTGGCTTAGCATGTTTTTTGTGTGTGTCAAAAATATCTGACTTGGTACTCAGATTCATCATTCTCTTCATCAACTTGTATCCATGTTTCAGTGGTGTTCCCCCAAGACCTGTTGGAGAAGGGAGTCGCTGCGAACAACTTTGCGATGCTTGGTCTGGGAGATATTGTTGTACCTGGAATATTTATTGCTCTTCTCCTCAGATTTGATCTCAGGCAAGTACCTCGTGATTCATCCAATGCAATGCTTTATATGTTACCATCTTGTACACAAACAAACTTGACATAGCCTACAGTTTTTTTGGTACTTTGGTAATATGCGGAGGCCAATTATTTTACAGCGCGCTGCGGCGGTTATGTTAGATTATGTTATCAAATATGTTTGTAGGTCTTTCCTCGTTTTGTTATGAATCGAACTATACCAAAAGAGTCATGTTTTCTATTTATGATAACCCAACATAACATAACTGCCGCAGCGCACTGTACAAGGGTGGCCTCTGTAAAATATCAAAGTACCGTTTTTTAGGTTAAGATCGCTTCAGACCAGGGTTATAAGGGTTTTCGGTGGATAAACTTGATTGAAGGCTTACCTAATGGACATTAGCTCCGTCTTTTGTAAAGTAAGTATTTGGTCCTGTAGGTCGTTCTGGGTATGATCTTAAAAAAATATGAAAATAATTAATTTGGAAGGGACAGGAAAGCAGACTTTACCTTTAAATAAGTTTATAGATACACATAAACATCAAAGAAGTGGACATTTTCTTCAGTTTCTAGAGAAATAAAGTTTATTTATCTTTTTCTCTAATGGTTGAGAAATTGACCAGTGACAAACAATTTTTACTTCTTTGATGTTTATGTTTCTATATGTACTTATTTAAAGGTAAGCCTACTTTCCTGCCAATTTCCTAAACAATTCCTGCCAAATTCCTCTTCAAATCTTTTAATGAGTTAATTTGGAAGGGGTAATTCTTGTTAGCAAAACTCCTATAGTTTTTAACTAATTTATCTGTTATTTTTTAATTTTAAAATATTACCAAATAAAATACAATGCTGTGTGGCAGGACTCCTCTTCTTTATTAGTTGTCAGTTTGCTTGTTAATACTATTTGATATACAATGTAAGTGAACAGGTGTTTTGGTTTTACAGCCTGAACCGCAACTCCAAGTTCTACTTCTACTCGACGTTCGTGGCTTACTTCCTCGGCCTAGTGGCCACCATATTTGTGATGCACATGTTCAAACACGCTCAGCCGGCGCTGTTGTATCTTGTCCCAGCATGTCTGGGCACGCCGTTGTCCCTGGCGCTCATCAAAGGAGACATTGGGGCGATGTTCCAGTAAGTAGCTTGTTTAAGTTCTTATCTTACTTCATCTCTTCCAATGTAGCAATGGATATCCACTTGATTCTTTGGCGTTGAACTGATTTATTGGCACTATACTGTTAAATCAGCATAATGTTAGTAAAAGTTGTTGACGGGATGTGGATATTTCGGACGATTCTGTAGGCAGATTAGTTAGTGTTTATACAATAACTGGTTGATGCTACTTCACTGGTTGACAACGTATTTCTCATGTAGTGATGGAGGCATCCAAATACATATTTTCCTAGTTAGATAATCACTTAAATTAATCTTAATGATAAGAACTACAAGGGCTGACATTTTGTTAGCTATAAATAAGCATTCTAAAGTAAGTATTCAGTCATAAGTGTTGTGTTACATCAAATAATGAAAACTAAATCATGTATTGTTTTGTTTTGATTGAATGCAGCTCTTTTGCGCATATACGTAGACACCTTATGTTAGCCGACATGATACAAAATAAGGAAAATAGCAACTAAAGGTTGTGGTTTTTTCTTACGGGTGCTAAACTTTCTAAATAACTTCTTCTTGATCAGCATTGTACGTGTTATTAAATTTACAGAAAATAAATAAAACAAAAGTCTTATAATACTTAAAACATATATTTACGCTAATACTGTTACTCACACGACAGTAAATATACAAAAAAATTAAAAAAAATTGTAAAAACTGAAAAACCGATAGTCAACTGACCGATAGTCGAAAAATCAAAATCAATCACCACTTACCATCTTTTTTGTATATTTACCGTCTTGTGAGTAACAGTATAAGCGTAAATATATGTTTTAAGTGTTATAAGAGGTTTCTTTTATCTACTTTCCTAAACTTTCTGCGTTGAAATATTGCTGACAATCTTTAAAAATTAAGAATGAAGCTCTTGAGTAAGAAAGATTAGGGACCCGTGGCTTCATGTAGTGTGACAAAAAAAGATTTATTTAATTTGTTTCAACCTCTATGTTTACAGGTATGAAGACCATCCAGAGAAGAAAGAAGAAAAGGAAACCACAACTGCTGCCAAAACTACAACTACAACCAAATCTTCCTCTAAGGCCAAGAAAGAAAAGTAAAACCTCTCAGTATTCTCTTAATCTTCGGCTTGCTCACTCGCGCACACCTTGTGTACTTAAATTGCCGGTATTTAAGCTGTCACAAGAAAATTTGAAATTTAATTTCAATTCGGTTTTCCATGTTTTCTGGTAATAATTTAATTTTGACTATCATGACATTTGTATCTTCGGATACTTAGAAAGACATAACTTCTGTTTTTTTCCTACTCTTTGTTGCATAAATGGAAGAACTTTTCAGAAAATTTGTGAATTTTTTAAATAAAATTTTTTAAATTATTTTGTATTTATTAAATTATTTGTTAAAATTAGTTATACTTTGGAACAACATGATTTGTAGCTTGTATCTTACATTCCATTAGGTTAAGTTTGATAGTGGGCAGTGAAAGTATTAAAATAACTAATAGTCACTTTTTTACAGCTAGGTTTGTGAAGAAGTCTTTTTAGTGCACTTTTGAAAATGGTACTCTAGATCTAGTACTTCATTCAGTTTTATTCATAAATATTTAAGAATCGAAATCTTTTGATCAACTTTTTTTTCCTTTTTGTGCTGTGTTAAGAAAATTTAGGGAACTTAAAGTCTGATTTGTGGCTACACCAGAAGTAATTGATTTTATATGAAAACACTAATTGTTTGTTTAGTTTTGGGGTTGTGTTTTTGTAGAACATGTACAGCATTTATTATTGAAATATAAGATAGTACGTTGCATAGCGTAAGATGATCTGCCGAACCTTTGATAGCTATCTATATTTTTCTCTAAGATGTAAATGCGAAGCTATGTAATTGTACATAAAGTATTTTATAATTTTGTTGAATTTGATTGTAATAAATGATTTATTCCAGGTCACTTCATATCATTTCAATTCCTGAAGGTCTAAAGTTTTTTTCCTCACACCTTTACTATTTATATTGGTTTACACAAAATGTCTCGGATGTTTTTTTACATAAATTTTAGGGATAATCTGTTAAGGCGTTTGATTTTTAAGTCCAGCTTTTATTCTTGCAATCCCCGGTTGTGTGATCAAAAATGACAATTTTGCCGTGGTCGTGAGAGACAATGATAAATTCTCGGTGATCACAAAAGATGTCACTATTTTGCTGTGAACGCAGGAAACATTCACGATTCCTTTCTGATTGCAGAATGTCCCCGATTCTATCATGAATACCAAGGGTACTCCGATTTTGTCATAACGAGAACGATTTAGTTCATTTGCAGTTCTTTCATGTTCACGGTTTTGTTGTGATCACCGGAGATTTAGAAGGTGTTTCCACGTGAAAGAAAGACGTTCACTACCGTTAACTTAGGAAACGTTTGCGACCCCTCTAAACATTTACTGCGACTACAGTGGTGTCGTGACTGTGGAAGGTTTTGTTTGTTTTAAATTTTGTTTTGTGTTCACAAACTTGTCAGGATTGCAGAAGTCGTTTTAAGCAGACTATAGTATAATAATTAACTTTTTATTTTCAATTTTTACCAAAGCAACCTAGATTTGACCTGGCCTGATTTTGGCCCCTAAACCCAAAAGTCAACATTTTTGACCAATTTGGAAGATTTCTAAGTTTTGGAAAGGGTATTTTCTGACATATTTAAGTACTAGGAAACACAAAATCTTATTAGAAATCAAATAAATCATGCTTATATACTATGACAAGAATTTTACCACTAGTTAAATGTTACGGTAATTTACTACGGTAGATGAAGAGGGGCCATTTGCTAGAGTATATTTATTAACGATTCTGAAATTGTTATTTATATTATTTACAGTGTGTCCAGCTTTGAGGTTAGATCCTTGATTGGGTTGTTTGGTGTAAAAAGGGGTTAATACAATTAAAAAAGTAGTAATAAGCACTCATTCACTAATGCAATGATTTATGTGCAATATTGTATTTTTCAACACAATACATTAAGTTTGTCATTATGTGAATTACAGGAGAATATGGACTAGACGTTAAAATGATTCCATTCAATATCCTATTTCTCCGTAAGAGGAAACTCAAGTTAAACAATGATGCTTCAAGTACTCTCACCCCAATGATGAGCAAATAATTATTATTTGACAATTTTATTTAATGCTTGTTGGTTACCATTCCAAGATAATAAAAAGCGCTAAAATCATGTATTGTCTCTTATTAAAAGAAGGATTCAATCTATTTTGAAATATGTCTCAAGTTTTGGTATTTTTTTTTTTTTTGTAAAAATACAATTTAGAATATTGTGAACGAGTATGTGTTCCTTACAACAAACTGAGCAAACATAACTACTATAGTTCGGCCGCTTAGAAAGGGACCTCCTCTAGCTTCTAGCATTGGTTAGCATTAGCTGCAGGTCGCTTTCCAAGCGGCTGAACTATAATAATTGATTGATAATGTAGCAAAAATGTTGTTTTTTTTGGTTCTCTTTGCTTGTTTTGATTTGGACAAAATGTAAGATACACTTTCTCAATTCTTTTACAAAAATACTAATACAATTTTATAAGAATTTAAAATCTTGTTTTTCCCGAGCTTATTATGTTATCACTAAATAGATTAGGTAAAGTGGGCCGTTTCGTGACATGTTACTGTCAGATAGAGGTACTTTAGACAATTGTTGGAAGTGAATGTAAAAGGGTAATTTTGCGACCTTAGAGTTAATTAATTACGAGCATTTGCACCACACCCTTCTGTCATCAAGTAGCGGAAAACGTGGATGAGTTGTTCTACTAACATGCGATAGCAATGTGTTTTGGTGACAGAGCTGGTCTAGTGGAGCGTGGGGGTGAGACTTCGGTCCCGGGTTCAAATCACCAATGGATTTTATCTAAGTGATAATGCTTAACCCCTAGGTCTAGACTGAAGTAATGTTAAAACAATCCCGGGCTCGTGTCTAGTGTCCTAGAAAAAAGTTTTTTTTTATTTTTTTTTTTTTGTGTCCGTCCTCGTCCATCACTGTAAATTTTATGGTTCTTAAATTCCTGCAATTTATTGTGACTATACCTATAAAAAAACACATTTTCTTTCACTGATTATCCATTATAATTATTAGCTAATTTCGCTGTAGGGAAGTATGAGCAAATTTCTCTAAGATCCAGGACCGGTTTACTTTTTTCATACTGTATTGACGTCCCCAGAGGCCAAAAACATAAATTTTCTGTTACTACTTAAGTACACTTAAAAATATTTAACTAACTCTGAACAGAAATACGATCAACTCAGGGGCAAGGAAGCAAGTTTTGAACTGAGTTTCATCAATTTACTTTACTTCCATTTTCTTTTAATGTGTTTATCTTTAGTATATGACAAGAACAGTATGTTAGGTTCACACAGACTTGATTATATTGTTGGCCGCCCTAGTTTAAACATTAGCCAGCAGTACGCCTGAAGCAAACCCAAGCCCGCAATGAACAGAAATTGCCTACTCTTGCCAATTGGGCGCATCATAAAGCCCAGCTCCTGAATGTCAAGTGAAGGACGAGTCACATGGTCACTCTGCTCGTCGCTTGCCGCAACCGTTCACTGATAAGTGATAACCACCTGTTAACCAAACCATTGATAACGAGCTTTGTCCGTTCATTCCTTCAGCAAGCTCAGCATGTTTGCTTAACGGGAGCCTTTTTTTCCTAAATTTTTGATTCTGCGTAGCTTTGTTGCCGACTGTCGACTGAGATCAACTGTTTCATTCGTCAGGACAATTTATTTTAATCACAATGATGGACAGCTAATTCCAGTTTCATTCCATAATACAGGGTGTTTCAAAAATAATCATCCGATTTCGTAGGTTTATAATTTTAAAACTAATAATCACATTAATTTTATTCAAAGAGTAACTAATACAGTTTTTTTACTTACCATTTACAGGTGCCCCATTTTAGATGCTCAGCACATGTGCAACTTGCATTAAAAATTCACTTAGTTAGGATAAAGTTGTGAAAACAATTGTAAATCTGAAAATAAATATTTTTTGAAAGTATGGCTTTTTTGACGGTGAGGGGGTGCAATTTTCGAAAAACGCCGAAGAGTGTATTGTAGAAATTTTAATTCCTGAGCATGAAAATCCTAATACTTTCACTTGATAGGTCTTACTGAGTTCTAGTAAGGGCCTATAGCCGTTAAAGTTAACGTGTTTCGTCGTTTTCAGATATCCACCATTTTGGCTTTTTAGAGGGTGTTTCAAACATTGAAAATTGTAAAATAGGGCTTTTGGATATTTTCCGTGAAAATCGAGAAATTTTCTTTTTTTATAGTATATTGTTCGATTAAATTGGATTCATAGATGAGTAGTTATGATTTTTCAAAATCGGATGATTCTTTTTGAAACACCCTGTAGTTTCTGATATTCTCAGGATCGAACCGACGACCTGCTATGCATTAGTCCTCTCACCAGTCACAAGTTCACCAGATACAAGCCATATGAAGTTCGCTGGATGTGGAATGCATGCGTTGTTTCCCTGTCTGACATAGGGTGTTATTTACGCCTGTCTGTCTGTTGCGACATGGACTCACGCATGTCTGTGTGTGCGTGTGAGACACGGTCAAGGGCTGGGCTGCCGGCCACTGGCCTGCTAGAGGCCGAAGACCGAAATAGATGCTTTGTAGTTACTTATTGGATAAAGAAGTAAAAGTTATTTCGCTCACTAGACCATTTGATTATGTTTATGATGATGATGATGATATTGATAATAATCAAAATTGGTAATCGAAATTATGTCGGTTTCCGATTAGTTTGTGAGAAAAGTCAGAGTCTTTTTAATCTTAAAGCGGGACTCAACTGTCCTTTATTATTTGACTTGGAATACACACCCTGTTAAAACAGCTGGTACAGTTAACAAAGCTCAAATCATCACACTCCATGTCACTCCTTTATTCATATTTGGATTGAAAACTGAGCTGCGTTCCCAATTTAACAATCGCAATTGGCTTATAATTGTTTCCAAATGCTGAACCTCTGGAGAATTGGTCTGTTGAATTAAAAACTGATTTAGTTTCATACGAGTGAAAAGGAGTTAAAAATAATATGCATGTCTAACTAATCATTTAAAAACTTCGACAAGTCAATATTTTGTAGCTTTTAATAAATATCATTATGGCGTATTTCTATGCAGCCATACCTTGGTAACTTTAACCAAACCATAAAACTTAACCCATGTTGGTACCCTATTAACGACTTAAGACACGAACGAGAGGCGTCACTATTATCCCCAATTGGTATAATTGCTGCGCCGTTTGTAATTGCTATGATTGCCTTCCTTTACGTTGTAAAAGTCTACTCCGGATATTTGACCACAGAAAACGTACTACTAACGCAGCGACCAGTCAAGTCAACCTGTAGGGAATGTAAAATTGTAGATATAGCCTACCATATGGGCATTTTGGAGACCTCTTAATCATGTTCATTATGTGGAATTAGTACCACTACTCATAATTTGACTATAATACGCTCATTTTCATCCCGTCTGGAAGCTACCTATGGTGATTGGCGGTATTTTAACCTCAAACCTCCGGGACCGAGGTCTCGCACTCTATAACAACCTTAATCCCTCCATACCGATAAATCGACTTCTAAAATAAGATTTTAATTAGTTTAAATAACAAAATGTTCCTAACCTATTCTAACCACCCTTAGATTAGGTTAGGTTATAATTATTAGGTGTGGTCAGTATAATACCAAAGAACATTTTTTTAGCTATTTACGAAAACCCTAAAAGGAATGACCCCTACCCCCTTAGATCCTCCCCACCCCCCTTCCCCTACATTTGTACCAAATTTGACTTAAACATTATTTCCCCCTATTTGGTCATTTTTGTTTTCGTTGTCTGGAATTTCCAGGGCGGTAGAATTCGGCTAATACAGACCGCGATCAAAAACTGTTCC